GCTTTTTGTGCATATTGGGGGTGTTATATGTTCAGACCTGAGAAATCAGGCAGCACGTGTTTCCCACTGGTCAAGGAGAAATCACACAATTTGAGCCTGCAGTTATATGAAATGGATAAGTACCAGGCTTTCAGTTTGTGTCTGTGTGCCTAAATGTACACAGTTTGAATCAAGAGAAACTGCCTAGAGATAACAGTGAGAGGCCTTCCTTCAGTGGGAGGCTCTTAAGTTGATTTTCCCGCTCCTTGCAGTTCTCTGCTTCCAAGAAATCTACTCCAGAAGATCAAGAGATCCTCCTCAACAATGGGGGACAGAAGAAAAACTTCAATGTCCTCATTTTCCCCCTGCAGTGTTCCATGGGGAAGCACTCAAAATAGGGTCTCTCGGGCAGATCTGAAGCCTCAGGTAGGTCAATTTAATGATGTAGTTATGAGTTGGCCAAAGTTACCCCCCTTGTAGGCTTCACTGATTTCAGAAGGCAAGTTCAAAGCATTTTTAAACTGAAGTACATTGGACTTTCTCCAGATGACCTTTAACAATTCTCACAAGGTGTACCGATAATGTCCATATTATAAAGTGAATGGTTGTATTTATCTATATTCTCAGGGAAATGGCAACAACCTTTTTCTATGAAGTTTACAGAAGTAGAAACTTTCTATATAGACAACTACAGGAGTGTCCAAGTGCCAATGATGTTCAAGACAGAGCGGGTTGCCTCTACATTTGACAAGAACCTGCAGTGTGTTGTGCTAAAGCTTCCTTATAAAGGGAGTGTGCACATGCTGATTGTCATGCCAGAAGAAGAAGCTGACTTTATGGACCTTGAAGACCATTTGACAATTGAGCTTGTGGATTCTTGGCTGAAAAACATGGAAACCAGGTACAAATCATGTCAGGAATGGCCTGCTTGTCTTTGTCAGGTTCCAGATTGAAATACTGATCCAAATGGGATGATAGGTTTAGTGTGTAAAGAAGGGGAGAAGTTCCCCACACTCCCTGACAGACACCATCGGATTTGCCACGATCTGTGGTGATTCCGGCATCCAGTATGATAAGGTCATTGGTCTCAGCAGCTTTCACAATCTTTGCCTTACTAGGATCAAATTTGTGGCAGTTCCCCAAGAGTACATACACCTCCATCTCATGGACAATATGCATATTTCAATTGGTGTTTGCAGACATTCTCCACAATCCCATTCTCCTTTTCTTTTTTGTATTGCAGAAAAAAGGACATTTATTTTCCAAAGTTCAAACTGGATCAGTCTTACCATGTAGAAGAGTTGCTTCAAGATATGGGCATTAAAGATCTTTTTACTTACAAGGCAGACCTAAGCCACCTCTCAGATCAGAGATTCATGAAAATATCACAGGTCAGTATGTATTCTCACTATTTGCTACTGCTTGCTTTTCTGTAAACTCTCCAGATGTTCATATGGTTCTCTCCTCCCCTCTCAAACTGTCATCTCAGGCTGGTCTTCACAGGTCAAGCAACTGATAAGCACGTATTTCTTTGAACAATGGACTCTGAGGAATTGTGGTTGATGATTCATGTATTAGGCTTAATCTCATCAGAAGGGACCATCCATAGGTCTCAGATTTTGGCCTTGAAATTTCAACCCCTGAGATGCTCCTCATTTCAAGTGGATCATCAGTAAATTCCTGTTTTGTAAGGAAAATGGTGCGGTATGTTTGTAGATGTGACACAAGAAGATGGGACTGCCCATATTTAAATCAGTTAAATAAAAATCAGTAGCAGCGAAGAGCCAGAATGCTAACAAGAAACACAATCAATTTGCTGAGAGTCCTCTTATATTTCCAATCCTTATAGGTTCTCCAAAGAGCTGTTATTGAAGTGGATGAAAAAGGGACCGAAGCCGCAGCAGTCAGTGGCTCCGAAATCCTGGCATATTCTTTACCTCCTACAGTCCGGGTGAATCGGCCATTCCTTTTCATGATTTATGAAGAGATATTAAATACCTTGCTGTTTATGGGCAGAGTTATCAACCCAACTGAGCTGTAAATAAAAGTCAAACATTTCCATGTAGTGTTTGTTATTTTGGTACTCCTCCAAGAGTCAAACTATCTGTTACCCCGAGAATGTGTTTTTTAAAATGGGTTTAGCACTGACCATATTGTGTTTTCTGCCCTCCCTGAAAAAAACATGGTGTGGGACTCTGATGCAGGCTGCAACCATAGCTTGTGGGAAAGGGGTCACCTCATTCTTTTGGAACACAATTTTTCTGCTGAGAATCTCCCACCCACCCGCAAGTGCTCTTTGACTCTGAAGGTGCTATTCTCAGATAAGAGCAAATGGGAGGTGGAGAGAATAGCAGCTTGGAAAAGAGTGCAATTTTTGGCAAGAAATTGCATTTTGGAGCAAAGGATTTAACCCCCTCCCATGCATGCAGTATTCATGATACAAATCAGGGTCTGCTTCTTCAGGGGTGAGGTGAGTGCACAATATTAAGCAGACAAGTACACATGTAACACAATATATAATTTGATTCATTCTATTCATACTGGGATCAGAACACAGCTGTTTGAGAAAATCAGATGGCATACCTGTTCTATGTCAAAAGACTGTGGGGGGTGAGATGTCTGAGCAAGGATTTTGGGAGTTTCAAGAAGGAAAAATTAAGTTCAATCAGCTATACTTCATAAAAGGAATATCTACCTGTTTCAAATGCTGATTTATTACAATTAAATGTTGGATTTTTATACTTATTTTATATGCCTATATACCTGGGGTCATGTAAACATTTCTTGGGCCAAAAGGGGTCCTGAGTGGAAAAGTTTAAGCCCTATTCTAAACGACAAGAGGGCAGGTTTTGGGGTTTGTGTGTGTGTGTGTGTGTGTGTGGGGGGGGGGGTGATCTCATAGATATCTGGCCATCTTGGAAGCAATCATTTTAAAAGTACAAAGTGGAATTTTTCTTAAAAACCCCTTCCTTCCTACTAACAAGGAAATGTCTTTGTTGCAATCAATGCTTAACTGTCTTGTTTACTTGTATTGAAAGGAAGATCTTGCCAAACTGGTTATCCCATGTGTTGTAACCCTACTGTATGTTCAGAGGACCATCTAAGAGCTTTTAAGAGACATTTTCAAAGGGTGATAGAGGTCACATTCACAACTGCTCTTTGCATACAGACCTTTTTTTGCACACATCTTTTTAAGTACATTAAGCCTTTTCTTTTGAATTCATAGAATAACATTAAGACTATATTTTGCCCCACCTGAAAGTTTTTGTTTCACTCCAGATGACCACCCCCACATTAGGAACAGGTGAAATATGGGTAGTGGGTCAAAACAAAGGCTGTGGGACTCCAGAGAGGTTCCATAGTTTTTCTACAGACTATAGAACAGTGGTTCTCAAACAGTGGGTCCCCAGATGTTCTGGCCTTCAACTCCCAGAAATCCTAACAGCAGGTAAACTGGCTGGGATGCCTGGGAGTTGTGAGGCGAAACACCTGGGGATCACAGGTTGAGAACTACGGCTATAGAGGAAGGTCCCATAGATTCCAGAAAACTCTCCAGCACACACACAAGGCAGATGTATAGACAGAAAGAAGGATTCCCTAAGAAAAGGCAGCAGAAATCATCCAGAATTTGCTTTCCTGATTTATTTGGACTTTTCTTCACATCAGAAGGTAAAAAAACCTCTCTGTGTTTGTCTGAAACCCCTTTAAGCCTTCTTAGATTGATCAGGATTAGAGTTTTTAGCAACTTTTGAAAAACAGCTTGTCTACTGCTATGTTTTGTCTTCTTAATAAATAAATAATTTTTCTGCCTTGAAATTGGCATGTTTTTGACCTGACTGCTTTTCCTTTTTGGAGTCATTTTGGGTTAATTGCCCATTTTTAAAATTTTGTATAGCCTGTAAGATCTCTACAGAGCTTTTCATTCCAAACTCCTGGGAGACCTTTTCACCCCAAACCAGTGCATCCAGGCAATAATCGTATCAGCTATGCAATATCAGAATCAGAATGCAGTCAAAATGCCAAAAAGGTATTAATGAACAAGGGTACACGAGCTAGTAGTTGCTGCAGTTTGCTTTGGTTTGAGCCTACTGAGAAAGGCAAGGTTTTGTTCCTGTATCTCCTCTCTCCACTACTCAATTAATTGAGTACAATCTACTTTTCATTTTTAACTCTGTTTGTGGCAACAGAAGTAAGATACAAACAATGGGGGAAAGGAGAGCTTGAAAGAGAAACTGGGACATTTTAAAAACAGTTGAAAAAGCCACATGATAAATGATTAATAAGATTTTCGCTGCCAGACCAAGACAGCTAGAGGGTAAACAAGGTACCATAGATAGACATTGGATCTGGGATGGAGTTTGCCCACTTTTAATAAAATGTATTTCCTAATAGAAGGGGAAGAATGAGAAGTCATAAATACTTTAACCACTCTCATGGATATTTTCTCTATGAACTCAATAGCTTTGCTCTGGGCAATGGGAGAAAGTGGTTGCCATAATTTGTCTAGTGTATGCCCTCCACAGATAAAAATGATTGGTGTACAATGACAGGTGGGCGACATTAAGCCCATTTGTTCATTTATTCAGTACTGCCTATATAAGTCTATATTTTTTGCACTTCAACACCCAAACTCCTAGAACCCTCAACCAGCATAGCCAGCATGGTAAGCGATTGTGTGCGTTGCAGTCCAAAATGTCTAGTCAGGCCCATGTTCCTTCCGCATACACTCATCATATGCAATAACATTATAGCCTTTCAAGAAATTACTAAATTAGTTTTGATGCCATTCAATCAGCTGACAGTAACTTTATGACAGTAACTTTAAGCCTAGAGGAAATAGCTGCTAGTACAATGAAAATAGTATTAGTATCCTCATATCTTTTTCTAAAATTATATTTTTACAAATGGTGAAAAAATTTCACCTCTCCCACCCAAAACATGCAAGTACTTTATAATATCCTACACTTTATTGTATGCAAAGCATTCATTATTTCACACTGTAAAAAGTAACCACACACATGTTCATTCACAAATTAGATTATCTTTATCATACACCAATATATTTTAAAAAACAGATTTCTGATATCAATATAGTTTTGCTGATTGCATTTGTGAAATAGAGAAGCTGACAATAGCTTCATACAGTCTCTCTCAAGTATTGGCATAAATAGAACTCTTTAAATAGAACTGCATGTTGCAGGCAAATTTTGATAGAAATGGGAGCATGAATACAAACAGAATGCTGTGGACGGAGCTAAAAGCATGATAGCTTGAAAGAACAACTAATTAAAAACTAGATTCATCATTTTTAAAGTGTTGGATAAAGAGAAACTACAAGCTGAAGTACTGGAAGTTAAAACAATTGTTTATACAACAAAAATTACAATATGAAACTAATAAAATCATTTATATGCTTTTGGAGGTATTTGTACCTGTTAAAAGGTGAAAGGAAATCCTCTTGAGATTTTTATACACCAGATAAGCAATCCTATTTAAAATTACAGCACAACTGTGTTGTATATGAATATGTTCTCCTTATTCCTTTGTCCATGCTTCCAGATTCCACGTTAAAGCTTCTTGGATACTTAAAAGTTTTTTTAAAGTGTCAAGTGTTCAATTAATCTTATATGCAGATCAGTTTCACCTATATGGTCTTAGTTCCATAGCAAAGGCATATTCGTTGCCCCAAAGCTCATAAAATAGGTATGTTTTAAAGTACAGGGCACTTGAATTCCAAATCGAATAACCTGAACTGTTAAAAGGCATAATTGAAATGGGAGGAGGGCGGCGGGAGGGAGAACCCTGTCTCTTTATCTGCAACAGTTTTTAAGCACATTGCTAAAGTAACATTGAATTAAACACTTCACTTACAACATTGGAATTCTGCACATATTACATTATTTCTATGAAGATATTTTACAACAGAGGAATTTATTTAACTGACAGAAGATGTTAACGTTGTGGGATGTAGTCAGTCTCTTCTCTCTGGTCAGTATGTTCAAGGTTGCACTCCAGTTTTTGCCTTGCCCTCAGCCATGTTGCCCGCAGCGATCTTTGGTGTATATCCATTCTTTACGCAACTCTAGGAGTTGGACTTCCTGTTTTTCCTACAGAGAAACAAACTCATGAACCCACATATGGATTGGAAGAGGATAAAACACGATTGCTAAACATCACTAGTCTATAATTTACCAGCAAAATGTTGTTGGTACCATTCAGTTCCCATTTCTTTGAAATCTTGCATACATTTAAGTTAAAAACCTAGACTGTTTTTCGTCCTTTGCTATGCTTAAAAATAACAGGGAACCATATCAATACCCTTAACCCAAAATTAGTGGGATTTCCCACCCCCATCCTAGTTCTAAGCCAACTTCAGTTACCACAACTGCTTTCTTTGGTGTGCAGAAATCTCTTGGCGGATTCCCAAATTATATTCAGACTTATCATTTGCTTGGAAAGGAACTTGTCCGTCTATTATCATGCAGAAAATATGGCTGTATCTGCACTACAGGTTGCATTAGTTTTATACCCCTGTCTCACAACTCATAAGATTGGTAGTCCTAGGATTTGTAGCTTGATGAGATATTTAACATTTTCTACTAGAAGGCTCTGGTTCGCTCTACTGACCTACAATTCCCAAGTAACCAATTCTAAGATACCTTGACAACAGGGATACAAAAAGATTAAACCATTGTAAAGGTTTTTGAAAAATGGAAGAGGGATTTGGTCAATTTCATTTGGAAAGGCAAAAAAGCCAGAATTGCTTACAGGAACCTTATTGATGGGAAAGACAGAGGGGGCTTGGCTCTGCCAGACCTCAGATGCTATTATGAAGCAGCTAACTTTAGTTGGCTAAAGGATTGTATTAAACTGGAAAATAAGGAATTACTTAAGTTAGAAGGATATAATCTAAGATATGGATGGCATGCCTATCTATGGGATGAAAAGGACAGGGTGAATAAAGAATTCAATGGACATATAATAAGAGCCAGCCTTTTAGCAACATGGAAAAGGTACAAGAAGGGGATAGAGCTAAAAATCCCCTTATGGCTGTGCCCACTGGAAGCAGTGCAAAGACCGGTCATACATATTGAATCTGGAACATACGAAGAATATTTAGTCAAAGAGAAAGGGCAATGGACACTTAAAGAGAAGAATTGGGGATAAAATATTGGTCTTGCTTCTTTCAATTGCATGACAGATTTAGGAAGGACGTAAAGGTAGGAATTACCTCTAAAAAGTCAGAGTTAAAATTTATCTTTGAGAAGGGCAACAAAGGCCTAATATCCAGGCTCTATAAATATATCTTAGAATACAATTTAATAGATAACCAGATGAAAACTGTTATGATTACGTGGTCCAAAGATTTAGGTAGAAATATTGATTTGGAAGAATTAAAACATTTGTGGGAAAAGGGGTTTAAATTTTCAGTGGCCTGCTCAATTAGAGAAAATATATTTAAAATGTTTTATAGAACTTACCTAACCCCAGAATTATTGGCTAAAATAAAGAAAACAGGACAAGGGACTTGCTGGAGATGTAAGAAGGCAAAGGGATCATTTTTCCATGTATGGTGGATTCGTAATATACGGTAGTTAAAGAATTTTGGAAAAAAAGTAGTGAAAGAAACAAACAATATGATTAACAAAAATGTCAGGAAAAACCCGGAAATGTGCCTATTAGGACTATTTAGAATGTGTATCAGTGCAGGAGATGAAGAAATTTGTCAATATGGCTTTGTTGCTGCAAGACTAACAATAGTCCAAACTTGGAAAGAGGAAAAAGAGTTATCTATTAAAGATTGGAGAGATAAATTAGTAGAGTATATCCAAATGGTCAAGGTGACAAATAGCAGCAGAGGAGGAAATAATGAAGAATTTGCAAACAAATGGAGGCTGGCACTCGGGTATTTGGAAAAGAAGACAAAGGTAAACTTGAAGATTGCCATAAAGGGGATTCAGTGAAAGAAGATATATGGGCAATTGCTGGCTGGTTTTGTGATCCTTCTTTGAGGGGCTTCAGGGGTCATGGGGTGGGGTTCACGGGTGGGGGGATAGAGGATTAAGAAATGTGAAGATATAAATAATTGTACAGCCAAGTCTGATTGTTCATATGTTTAACGAGCACTGAATATACACTCTTTTGTAATTTTTTGCATATATTTTCATTTTTCATTTTTTCTTCTTTTGTTCATTTGTTTTGTTTCCTATATACACTATAAAACAATAAAAAAAATTTAAGATTAAACTATTTTAATTCTATGGGGCAGACTGAATTACAGTGTAGCTGAATTATAGTTCAGAAACCCAGTGTGAAAGATGGGACTTTCTCATTCGTTTCAAGGGATGGGACAGTGACATACATGCAAAAGCAATGTAGGCTGATGCAAAGCTTGAGATAAGGCAGTGAACAATATACTATATCTGTTAGCATGTAGTCTCTGCACCTTTTCTGCTTTTCAAAGTTATTTTATAATTGATCAATAATAATACTGTCATATATGCGTAAGATGAAAGAATACAAAATTCCATTCAGGGCCATGTAGAACTGAGTGAAACTGATTTTGAAATGGAAGGTGGGGGGGCTTGTGTGATTTATACTAAGTCAACAATTCCAATGGACATGACTCTGTCCTTAGGATACCCTAATTAGTTCCCTGGATCATGATCTTCCTTTAGTTTTAATAATTTCTTACATGTCACACCTTAACAACTTTAGGTCAATGGGCTCCAGCACTCCAAATATACATTACGTTGTGCTTATCCTATCCAGGTAAAATCTCTTGAAGTGTAGCACCATAACTGGTTACTTTCTGGTCAGATCCTGCTTCCATTAACAATAAGGAACAGAAGGCTTTAAGTGAGCCAAAGCATGTTAGAAAGCAAAGCCAAGAATTAAAGAATTCCCAACTCCTATGGAAAATGTTCTCCTGCTGAAAAATGTTATATGAAAAGCAACATGATAATCACGTATATGTGAGCATCTGCCCTGCATTCCAATTAAAGAAATATTTCTTCTGAGAGGTGATGTTAATTTCCTGGAATTAATTAGAACATTGCCACGTACTTCAGCACTGTATGCCCAGGTTGTAAACTATTACACACGTTCCCACTCGAACCCCCCTGCAGTGATTCATCTTACAAAGCAAGGACAACTGATTCCTCTCTAGATGTGTATTTGAATATGTGGCTATGTAGGAGTGTAAGTATAAGCTATTATGTTGAAGGAAAAATTCTAAAGCTCCCCACAATGAGCAGAGACGCAAATGGATAATATAACCAAACCCGGTATAACTGCATAATAGTAGCAGAACAGAGTCTTTTGTTATTCCCAATGTTTATGATTCACATCTGCTGTCTATTCTAGGATGACTCATTTCACCCAGTCGATTTGCTAGCAACGGGTCTGAACATGTTTTATTCCAAAAGCACTCTAAAACGAGGGGGTCTCTTGTGGGTTGAAACACTTACTAGATGAAAACCTTCCATGTTCTATGATGTGCTACAAATTCACAAGCCTACAGCAGCTTTCCAGAACAACATTTCAAATGAGTTGATTTTCTTCCTGTCAGCTTCTTTACTGTCCAACTTTCACACCCAGGCATAGAAATTGAAAATACTATGATCTGGATGACTTTGAATATACGCTACTACTACACATCTATCAAAACTGTCCTCAAAGAAGCCTAAAACTCATGATGTGGCAACCATGACAAGGATTCTGAGAAAAGATGTCTAGCTCCTATTATAGGATTACACTTCTTGGGATTCAGAAGGAGGAAAATAGTTTTAATAGTATAGAAATCTTTCTACTGTTCTTCACAATACAAAACCTTCTTCATTGTAAGCCTTTCACATCCCAGAGTTCTAGTTTTTGTATCTATGAATAAGCCAATCATTTATGTTATGTGGAAGGTTCCCTCTCTTCCAAAGAATGTAAGAGTAGGCAGCAACTCCAGAATGTGAAATTCCAAAATGGAGCAGTGCACCTTAATTTGAATTGGCAGCAAAACAACTGTGAACTAATGACTACATATTTTATTTTCCAGGGATTTTACTTTCCACTGGTTAATAAAAACACTTTAAATAACTAGATTGTTCATGTATGTATGTATACATATGTATGCACATGTGCACACACTCACACATAATATATATTACTTTAAGAAGTAAAAATCATAAGGAGAAAAAAAGGTAGTCAAGCAGTAGTTGAGTGATGATGTTGATTGATTTGGGTTTTTTGGTAGCTGTGAAATATCAAGATCATATTGTAAATTTTATTGAAAGATCATATTGTAGGCCTATTAATCTGTAGCACATGAGAGAGAAAGAGAGGGGAGAGGAGAAGTACTGAAGCAAAGAACAGCACTTCTCCCACATTTGCCCTGGAACAAGAAAGAAACAATTAATTGCTGGATAAATCTATATTTATTGCAGTGATTAACAACTAGCACTTGCAATGCCTCTGATTAGCAAAAAAACTGGGCTTCTGCCTTTTTCAGTTCCCAAAATGTCTGAAGGGGATTGCAGAAAGGATGTGATGTTCCAAACTGAAATACCTGACCACTCTTGTTTCCTGCTTAGAATAGCATACTTATGATTCCTGGATTGTGTACACCAGTGGTTCTCAACCTGGACTCCCCAGATGTTTTTGGCCTACAACTCCCAGAATTCCCAGGCAGTTTACTAGCTGTTAGGATTTCTGGGAGTTGAAGGCCAAAAACATCTGGGGACCCCAGGTTGAGAACCACTGGTGTACACAGATATAAGATATATTTTTCTTTGTGGACTCTGTGAATGCACACATGTGGAGTGTCTGCGCCTGCGCAGGCCCCAATAGAAAACTTCCGAAGTTCAAACTGCAAATTTCTTCAGACATTCTGGACAAAAGGATAGCCTCAACTTAGAGAATAGAAGCATAACGTTGGGAGATACTACAAGGGCATTCAGTTCAACCCCCTGCCATAAAGAAACACGCAGTCAAATCAAATAGATGACCACCCAGCCTCTTTTTTAAAAGCCTAAACAGAAGACCACCAAACTCTCAAACAACATATTCCACTGTCAAACAGCTGTTACTATAAAGAAGTGCTTCATAATCAGTTTAAATCTCTTTTCTTGCATGTCCTAGTCTCTAGAGCAGCAGAAAATAAGTTTGTAGCCTCCTCAATGTGACATCCTTTCAAATATTTAAACATGGCTATCATGTATCAAGTGACTGGCTTGACCTTGAAGGAGCTAGGGGTGATGAAGGCCGACAGGGAGCTCTGGTGTGGGCTGGTCCATGAGGTCACGAAGAGTCAGAAATGACTAAATGAATGAACAACAACATCATGTCTCCTCTCAGCCTTCTTTTTTCCTAAGCTAAACATACTGAGCACTCTAAGCCACTCATCATAGAGCTTGGTTTCCAAACTTTTGACCATTTTGGTTGTCCCTCTATGGGCATGCTCCATTTTTTCAATATCTTTCTTGGATTGCAATGGTCAGAACTTGACACAGTATTCTAGATAAGGTCTGATCAAATTACTGAAATTTCTTCAATTGCAAGACACCATCAATTATAAGATGCACCCTAATTTCAGTACCACCACCACCAAAAATACATAAGATACGCCTGTGATTCTAAGATGCACCCCATTTTTAGAGATGTTTCTATTGGGGAAAAGTGTGTCTTAGAATTGAAGAAATAAGGTACTTTCCTCAATGTAGACACTATATACTGTACCTATTGATGCCGCCTAGACATTTTAAGCCTTACATCACACTTTATTCAAATTCAGCCTGTGGTCCATGAAGGCTACTAGATCCTTTTCAAAGCCAGGTGTCACAATTCTATATCTATGCATTTCATTTTTTTCTGCTTAAGTGTAATATCTTGCCTTTCTTCCTGAGATTCAGTTTGCTCATTTGGTCCAGCTCTCAATACTGTTATGGCCATTTCGATCCTGTTCTTTGGAGTTTTAGCTATCCTTCCTAATTTGGCGACATCTGCAAATCTGATAAACCTGTCCTCTATTCCATCATCAAAGTCTATTGTTGAATAGCACTGGGCTCAGGATAGAACTCTGTGGCATTCCAGCATGAAGAGAAGGCAATTTATAAGCATCGTCTGGGTTTGGCCGGTGAACCAATTACTAATCTACTTAATTATATTATTATTATAATATAATTATTATTAAAATGTAATGACTAAATATTTTATTTTATTTATTATATAATTATTTTGTTTATATTATTATTATTATTATTATTATTATTATTATTATATAGAATGCTTGACATAGATGCAGGCAAAACGTCAGGAGAGAATGCCTCTAGACCATGGACATATAGCCCGAAAAAACCTACAACAACCCAATTATATTATTGTCTAGTCCACATTTTACTACCTCCTTTGTGTGAATATTGTGGGGGGATCTTGTCAAAGGTCTTACTTAAATCAAGGTATGCTACATCTACAACATTCCCTTCATCTAACAAGCCTATCAAAAAAGAGCTAAGAGTAGTCTGACATGACTTGTTTTTGAGAAGCTCACATTGACTTTTAGTGATCATGGCATTCCTTTCTAAGTGCTTACCAACATCCCCTAAGAATGTTGATAACATGTTCTAAACTGCCACCAAGTAGGCAGACAGATTTTATTTGAAGAAGATAGAAATGAAATGCTTTGCTTATATTACGTATTTTTCAATACAATTTGATACTCACTTAAAGTGGGGCTGTCCATACAGAATATTCCTTTAATCTAGTCTTTATTATAAAAACAAGCTAAAAACCTGAGACTACAAAGTTCCCATTTCAGTTTGTCATTCTATTCTAACTTGAATTGAGCACTTACAAGCTAACCTTCCGCGAATGGCTTTCTTTACTCCCATTGCTCTTATGTTCAACTGAATTACTTGTATTACGAGAGGAAGATGGTAAAGAGGAAGAAGAGGAAAAAGTAGTGGTCCCACTGGAGTTGTTAGGACGAGTACGGAAGGAATCATCTGAAATGTAAAGAATACAAGTTAGTCAAGCACTAGTTGAGATGTTTGCATTTTGCTAGCTGTGCATATCAAAAGCATATTATATATCTTATTGAAAGATCATATCAACTGAATGACTTAGTGTCTGAAGAAACTCCCATTGGTCGTTATCTGCAGCAGGCATGGGGAAACTTCCTAACGTGGAGTAGGTTCTGTGTTAATAACTTCCTCGTTAGACTAGTGCAATACATTCTCATTGAAGATTGTCTTTGAAAACGATGCAGAAGATGCAACTAGTGTAATACGAGGCAGCTGATTGTTGCCAAGAATATCTTACAGAAACTAAACTGGTTGCTAATATACTTCTGTTCTAAATTCGAAGTTCTGGTGATGACATTATACAGCCTCAAAAGATATAGAACAGTGGTTCTCAACCTGTGTGTCACCAGATGTTTTTTGGCCTTCAACTTCCAGAAATCCTAACAGCTGGTAAACTGGCTGGGATTTCTGGGGGTTGTAGGCCAAAACACCTGGGGACCCACAGGTTGAGAACCACTGGTCTAGAAACTTAAGGATCACATCTCTCTTTATATACTTGCTTTAATATTGTTGTCTGTGGAGGGGTACTCTTCTGTACCTCACTAGTGGGAGCAATATACTACATTTATTTATTTATTTACTTTATTTATACCCTGCCTTTCTCAGCCCGCAGGGGACTCAAAGCCACAAACTCTGGCAAAAATTCAATGCCCTATTGTAAAACGACTATAAGACAAGCCATATCAAACTATAAAGCAATTCAAACATATAAACAAATTAACCAATTAAAAACATAATACATTGCCGAGTCTTTCCACACACATTGACTTTCTCATGGTCAATATTCATGCTGTTGAGGTCGATTCTGTGTTATCCTATTATCCGAATGCCTGCGTACAGAGCCAGGTTTTTAGCCTTTTCCTGAGGACCAGGAGAGATGGAACCATCCTGGTGTCACTGGGGAGGGAGTTCCACAACTGAGGGGCCACCACAGAGAAGGCCCTGTCTCTCGTCCCCACCAGTTGCATTTGCCAGGTGGGACCAAGAGCAGTGGCTCCCCAGAAGATTATTTCTAGTTAGCTCATAAAGGGAGATATGTTTGGAAAGGTAAGTTGGACCAGAACCGTTTAGGGCTTTATAGGCCAATGCCAGCACTTTGAATTGTGCCAGGTAGCAAACAAGCAGCCAGTGGAGCTGACGTAACGGGGGGTTCTATGCTCCCTGTACACTACTCCAGAAAGAAATCTAGTTGCTGCCTGTTGGACTACTTGGAGCTTCTGGACAGTCTCCAAAGAAAACCCCATGTAGAGCACATTGCAATAGTCTATACGGGATGTAACAATAGCGTGAACCACCATGGCCAAGTCTGGCTTTTCAAGGTACAGGCGCATCTGGCACAAAAGTTTTAATTGTTTGAATGCTCCCCTGGCCACAGCTGAAACCTGGGGTTCCAGGCTCAGCGATGAATCCAGGAGAACTCCCAAACTGAGAACCTGTGTCTTCAGGAGGAGTGTAACGCCATCCGGCACAGGCTGTAACCCTATACTGTGTTCGGCCTTATGGCTGACCAGGAATACCTGCCAACAAGGAAGAGGAGTTTTCTCTGCTATGCCATCAAAACTGTGGAATTTCTTCCATTTGAGGAACTGATGGATGCCAGTGTTGCTTTATTTTGGTACCAAGTAAAAAAGTGTATCTTTCTCAAATTCTTTGGTTTATAAGAGATTAGTCTGAATATATATGGGTTTGTATTTCATAATGTATGCTTTTAAATTGTTTAACTTACAAAAATGATTTAAATTGATTTATGTGTGTTACACTGATTTCAATTGTGTGTGTTTTTTTTTGTCTGTGTGCTGTGACTGAAGATCTTCTGATATAGCAGTCCTTTAATAGTAAAAGGAAATAAATAAATAAGACGTATATTTATTTATTCCCTGGTGTGTCACTGGAATTACTTCTAGGGTGAAATGCCATTGGAATCATTTGGTGTTTTATAAAAAATAATGTACTTAAATAGCCTTAATTGTCTTTGAACACAGTGAGGAATCAAGAGAAGATAAGTAATTAAATTATTTTACAAAATAACAAAGCTGCTCACCTGTAAAGGAGAACATAGAACCCTTTCCTACTGATGACAGTGATGAATATCCTGAAGAACTTTTGCTGAAAGAGTACAAAACTGTGTCAGAAAGAGTACAAAACTGTGTTACAAGACAACATTATAATTAGTAATTGTCAATACATCTTCCTACTTTGCACATTCCATTTCAGAGTATCTTCAGATATTCTATATTCTCAGCCCTCGAACCATGGAAAACACATTTTATTATTTTTGATCTGCAATATTTATGACAAATTATAAAAGATAACAAGGTCCAAGCACTTCTCTTCTACTATTCTATCTCTTTTCCACAAAAAATGTCTAGTTGATTTGAAATGTGTACAGCCGGCAAAATGACCTCCAATATTCATTCATTCAAATTGCTTATGAGGTTTTGTATCCTGCCTGAAGACCCTCAGGGTGACTTGCAACATAATGTACAATCCATGCTAAATGAAATAGGAAAGAACAGATTTAATTAAAAGAAAAAAAGAGCCAAAATTTCACATCATCAAAAGTGAGGAGGGAGGAACTGGACTACCTGAAGATGCAACAGAATAAAGGAATCTTAACCTGTGAAATGCCAAAATGTGGGGGCAACTGTACTTCCTAGAGGAAATAATTCTAACCCGATGCCACCAGAGAGAGGGTCATGTCACAGATCCAAACCTTTCATGACCATGAGACATGGAGGACAGCCCTAAGAAAAAATTTAAAGCTTTGTCTAGTAATTTGAACTATATATGCCAAAATGGTGTTCTGAAATTTATGATCTGAAAGCAGGCCCGTAGCCAGGATTTCATTTCGGGGGGGGGGGGGTGAGTCTGAGTGAAAGAGGGTCTAGCCTAGCAAACCTTTTGTATCATTACCCCAATACCCCCATGCATATGGGATATATTGAGTATGGTGATCAGATCATGATATGAATAAACAACAGTTTAAATAATGCACCAGTAAGGCCTTTTCGTGAACCACCATGAGAATTTCGGGGGGGGGCTGAAGCCCCTCAAGCCCCCCCTCCCCCCGGCTACATGCCTGTCTGAAAGGATAACATTTTTGAAAGTACTCCTGTTATATATTCATGGCTCTTTCAAGTTTTTTTAAATGTAATATAATATTTGACATGGTATAGGACTAGTATGTTAGATTTCTTTTTAAATCATGTCTTTATTTTACAAACTAGATAGGACATTAGCTGGGAAGTCAACTTTCTTCAAAAGCTTCCTTAAATGGTCTCTGGTCTTTGTGAGTTCATCTGTGGATGTCCTGTGAACATAAAGATGTTTCATAATTTCCTTCTTGGCACTTCAAAAAATGCTGTCCTCTTCTTCTAATCAGGTTTTCTCCAGGGATCACAAGTTTTACCCAGGAATTTACACTTCCTATGTGCACTTTGAATATAAAATGGAGAATATTTTCATACTAGTTTTGTTCCTGGGCCCAATTCATTATTGTATGGAACTGCCAAGCTGATATGTGTCACTGGAATTACTTAATTACTTCTAGGGTGAAATGCCATTGGAATCAGTTGTGTACAGACTATAATGTGTCTTTTTTAAAAAACATATTATCATTTTACATTTCCACACATTTTGACCAAAGAATGTTAGCAAGCTTTTACCGTGTAACTTTAGACGGAATCTTAACTTTCCAGAAAAAATGGGCAAAACCAGTCTACAGACCTTCTTGCAGAAAAACAGAGAAACTAAATATTACATACCTGGAACACTTGTCTATGTTGCTATATTTTGAGTGCAAAGCTTGACTACTGAAAGACTGACTTCGAACCAATTTAGATTTTTTTACTTCTTTGCCTAAAGCCAAAATTAAACATACATTAATAACAGTAGAAATAAAATACATATTTTATAATAGCATTAACATCAACATGGTGTTTTCTCTTCAACAAAACGAGTAAAATCAATAAAATAAGTGACTGAAAATGCAACTGGGGTCTGAATCCTGTGGGTAATTGAATGAGAGTAGATCAATGGATTCAGATGGGATTTGCACAACTCAACATTTATGCAAATCTCATGACCATCCTATTTTTTAAAAAATAAATAAATTTAAAGGGGAATCTTATTTTTCCTTCTCTCACTTTTTTCTTTTCTCTAAATTACTTCCATCCTTTTGGAAATAGGCAGGGATTTTTTTAACTTATGTCACTGTGTTGGTGGTGGGAATATTTATTTATTTATTTCAAAAAATTCTATCCCATCCTTCTCAACCCCCGAGGGGAGACTCAGGGCGGCTCACAAATGGCAGCCATTAGATGCCGACAATAACATCAATCCAGTCTCATCTGACAGGGCTTTATTCTTCCCACTCCACTTTATACTTTTGATAACAGTGAGGGACAAGTGTAAAGAACCACGTATTCATGAACACTAATGTGAAGCAACAACTGGACAAGCACAAATGAATTCTGGCAATCTAATTTCAATTCTCCCACTAAAACTATAAAGGTTTAGCAAACTACATAGTCTGCCTTCACAAGCTAGTGACAAATTCAGCAACAGTAACCAAATTATGCAGGGTCGATATCCTCTGATAGACTTTCCTTCTATGAAGGTTTTTAAACAGAGACTGGATGGCCATGGGTTAGAAATGTTTGGTCTGTGTATTCTTACATGATCTTACATGATAGAGGATTTACTGGATGGCCCTTGGAGTATTTTTCAACTCTATGTGCCTATGATTCTATGACAGAAGTGTTATAAACTGAGTAGATCAATGGCTTGGATATAAAGCCTAAGCACATCAGCTTTTTTTCTTTTTTTGGTCAGGAGCGTCTTGAGAAACTGCAAGTCGCTTCTGGTATGAGAGAATTGGCCTTCTACAAGGACACTGCTCAGGGGACGCCTCGATGTTTTTCCATCCTGTGGGAGGCTGCTCTCATATCCCTGTATGGGGAACTGGAGCTGACAGAGGGAGCTCAACCTGCTCTCCCCTGATCCGAATTGCTGACATGCAAGGGTTTAACCTATTGCACTACCAGGGGCTCCTAGCACATCCGATGGGAAGAGGACAAAATATTAGTAAGAAGAATATACTATCATGATTTCCTGAAGCTCAAGACAAGATTTGAGGGTTAACTAATTGGTTGAAGGAATCGAAAAGCAAAGATTGCAGATGAATGGGATAATTGTGACCCATCAATTCCCAATCATTTGCAATCATAGTGCTATCAAACAGACATTCTCTGAAATGTGTGAGTTTCCAACAATGTGTGCCAGAAATTGGGATATTATGGGGATATCTTAGTCATCTTTAACTGTTAAGTATTGCAGTAGGCACCAGAAAAAAAGGGAAAATCTGGAATTAAATTAAGTTACCCTATGCTACCTCTTACAGGTGCCAAATGACTTAATGCTTTTCTTTCTGCATTTTCTTATGTTCATTGGGGTGTGGAAATATTTTTTTAATGTACAGATAAGATTTTTTTTTCTTACTTGATGAAGCAGTTGAAGGATTTCCAGAAACAGACATTGGTATAGTTTTGGCCAAAGTTGCTGCTGTTTTACTGTCTCTACCTAAAACAAAGGTTTATTTTAAGCATTGCACTCAGATTATTTGAAAAGGTTAAGAATTGGCAGTTACCATTTTAGGTAAACATAACTATACTGAAACTTCAAAATAAACCAGATAGGATAAGAAATTAACCTGGAACAAATGTTATCACACCAGCCATTAGTATCAGGCAAACTACAAGAAAGGACATTCCATCGAAACATGAGGAAGAACTTCCTGACTGTGAGAGCCGTTCAGCATTGGAACTCTCTGCCCCAGAGTGTGGTGAAGGCTCCTTCTTTGAAGGTTTTTATACAGAGGTTAGATGGCCATCTGTCAGGGGTGCTTTGAATGCAATATTCCTGCTTCTTGGCAAGGGGTTGGACTGGATGGCCCATGAGGTCTCTTCCAACTCTATGACTCAATGATTCTATGATTTAATCACAGCAGAAGAGTAACATGCTTGTAAGAAGACTGCAAAAGAGCAGAGCACCATTGCAGTTAATATTTTGGATAAGATTTTTTTTTCTGCTGCAGGGCAGGGATTGAGTTAATCACCTAGTATTATATCTTCCAAGCATATATTTGGTGTTTTAAAGCAGTTAGTAAAGGTTGGTTTTGCTCTACAGCTGAAGTAGACTGCTTGTTGGTACAGCAAAAATTATTGGCCGATGGATGAACTCAAGCATGGTTTGGAGGTATCAGGTACACATTGCCTCTTCACTACAGTTTGAAACAAGGTACATTAACACAAAACTAAATATGGAACAAGTAAGGAAGAGAGCTGGCATTTCACTGTGAATATAGTTTGTGCCAGCTCAAGGTATTTTATTTACCACTTGTCCCTGCAAACCACCCTAACAACAGACAAACTTTCAGAGTTTCAAAAAGTGTTCATTCTTATCTGATGTGGAATTTTGAAAGTTTCAAATGACAAGCACTAAATTTGACCCATTTACCAAGAAAGACACTCAATCACACAAGTTATTGTTTGCACCACTCCATCTGAAGCATTCCATAAGGTCAAACTAAGAGCATGTATAATCCTATGAAACATGTTTTTGTTATCTGTTAATTGCCACAAGAAGATCATACTGACTAAGACTACAACCCTCACTTCTTTCTAACATAGTATTAATTCAATTTAGAAGCAGTTCACCTCCATCTCAGCATGCTCCATTCCCCAGCAAAAGAATTTTAAAAGGCTTTGGAAAAAAAGAAACAAAAGGGAGAGAGAACACTTACGCTTCTTTTCATATATTTTATCAGACATACTGGTAGATCTGCCCTCATTTTGTTGCTTCTCTTTCTCTAATTGTTCCTGTTATAGAAATAATGTAAGAATAGTGGTAACACATATATGGCATTTATATTTTGTTCTTCTACACATAAATCTTTCATAAATCAATCTGCCTTAAGGGAGAAAAAATGCAGGCTGAAACATCAACTCCCTATTCATTGATGGCACCAGTAGTACCAGAAAGAGGTGCCACTGCTTTATATATAAAGCAGGGATCATCAACTGTCACAGGTTAGACTCTTTCACCTGTCTGGCCTGCCCTTGAATCTTATTATTATACCTCCTTCTCTGCCTCTTACATCTCATTCCTGAATACTGCAGTGAAGTGGCGCAGGCGCACATGTGCAAGATCTGAGAGGCAGAGAAAGAGGTATGGTAATAGGAAAATTACCATATTGATATCAGATCTGATGTCTTTTTAATTTTCATTTAATGTGCATAGGAAGAGGGGTAGTGTTATATGTCAACTATATTTTAACTGGAAAAGTTGGGGGTCATCTTATACGCTGGAAAATATGGTATTTTTATTTGTTTTGTGTGATATTTCCACCATGGCGCCTGGCTCTCGTAATTTCCTATTGGAAAAAAGGTTACTACTGAGCCTAAAATATGGTGTAGTGAAAAGTTTTGTTGTGATCCTCCTCCCCCCAAATGGTGTGGGAGTGCAATAAATGTCCCCATCCCTGATATAAAGCTAAGTCTGAAATTATAAATTTCAATTTTCCCACTCGTATTATTATTATTATTATTGTTGTTGTTGTTTTTGTTGTTATTATTATTTGTGGGATTTGAATACCACCCTTCTCAACCCCAAAGGGGACTCAGGATGGTTCACAGTGTTGGCAGCAACTTATATCAGTCACCTGTATTTCAGTTGTTCTCCTTGATCAGCTCTTTTATTTGAAGACTTTTAAAAAGCAGCCCAAAAATGCTCTTAAATAATTGACCAGGACATATATAACAAACGTTTGGAATTTTCACAAAAGAAAATTATGTGGCAATGTAAATTGAAACGTTGTAGCCACAAAGAAGGTCAGCCCTGTTACACAGCAGGGGGAACCTACTTCCCCTTGCTATTTGGTGACAGGATTCATGAGGATAGGAATCAGTGTTATGGTTTGTGTGCTCGCTGGCTTCTTCTGTCCAATATGACTATGAAACAAAACTTGAGAAATGCCTATAGAACTGCTGAGACAACACAATCTAGAAAACACATATAAAAGGTATCACTTTCTTGTTTGGCATTGTTCTTCCTCTCAATAACTTAAAATATGTGTACACCTATCAAGCTGTAGCTACAGAAAGGGGAACTTTTGTTCTTCTTCATGTTTTGACTACAACTGCCCAAATTTCCCCTTCCCATTTGCTTTACTGGCTGAAATCTCTTGGAAACGGAAGTCCCATTCCTATGTAGGATCAAAGGTTCCTTATACCATACCTAAGAATCTAACCACCTTGTTCCCTTTGCTTGTGACACAGTGGATATCTGGTAACATACATTTGGCAAACGTGTTAGGAATTATATGGGGAAACAATTTTAAACTCTTTGCTTAGTTACCACTGAATCATCTATAATATACGAGTAGCAGATAATATATGATAATAAACATACCATTTCGAAGAGAAGGTGTTCCTCTCTTTCCTTTTGCTGGTCCAACAGATCATTTTCATAAAACCTTTTCTGAAACTGTTTAAAAGTGAAATTAAACAATCAGAGATTGTGATGATGATACTGGGTTACTCTTTTTGTCATTTTATGAAATACTTACAGCATCCAGAGAGGTTTCCATACTATCCAGTTCTGATACCATCTATTAAAAATAGATAATATATTTAGGTTGTTTTAATGATTTGTTTGGTTTTTTGGTTTTTTTTTTGTTTTTTTGTAAAAGTAATAATTACTGAGGGAGAATTGAAGTAGTATCACCACCCTGCAAAAGAGAGACCAATTGATAGACTAGTTTTCCCTTTCCCCACATAAACACTTTAGGAGAACTTTAAGTCAACTATCTATGAGAACTGGTGAGTTCCACACATGTTCTGTATAAGTTATAATCATCATTTGTGTGCTCATTGCCTTCTGCCGCCTGATATAATGTATAATGTTTAGTAGCTCAATTTACACGTTCCATTAATATGATAGAAACCACTAACTTTCACAAAGTGCATATCCATAAGACAGCTACTCGATGACCCTTTGAGATAACTACAAAATGACTATACAGGTGTGTATTGACATACATACAATACTTATTCTTTTGAACTGTGATACATAACAAAATGTATTTTATAGCAATGGTTTTATTAGTAATTACAAACATATGCAAATAGGCAAAATATATTTCAAATTCTTCCTGCTTCATGATATGAATCAAATTCCAATAGGCAAGGTTTTTAGTTTAATGAATGGCCGAAGAATAATGAAGCGGTCTTTCATTTGACAGACTTCAAGACTATTTAGACTTCAACAGATATTAAGAGCCAATGCATATGATCAGAAAACGCAATGTAGTATAGGACTTTAACATTTCAGATTGGCTTCAACACACAAGATTAGGAATATGACAAAGTATTTTTGTGAGTATCTCAGCAATGAACTTTTACATATTTTTGCAATCTAAAACAAATGTACTATTCCACAACACAACCCTTTTGTGCTGCTTGGATTGAGTTGGATCCAACGTCAACGCTTTATGTATTTATTTGGCTTTATGTATTTATTTGGTTTGTATTTTAATGTATTATAATGTTATTGTTTTATTAGTTTATTTGTGTATGGATTTTCTGTTGTTAGCCGGCCTGAGTCCCTCTTCGGAGGTTGAGAAGACCGGGTTATAAAAGTTCTAAATAAATAAATAATAAATAAATAATAAATTTCATAATCTTAATCAGTCAGTCTGGTACTAAGCAAAACTATAGATTTTCTCCAAACAAAACAAGATCTAAAAATTAATTTCCCTTCCTGTCTTAAGATACAATAGCAGAAAATTAGCATTAAATGGTTTTCCACTAATGCAGCAGTTCTCAACCTGTGCTCCACGGAGCCCCTAGGGCTCTGCGAAGGAAACGTAGAGGCTCTGAGCTTGCCTCCTCCCCTCTTACCCCCTCCTTCTCCCCTGGCTCAAGTCCAGCCTGATCATTGTGAGCATACGCCATGCCCCATCCTTGCCTGCCTTTGCATAAAGATTTGTCCTCCTGAAGCTGTCTTGGCCTAGCACTGCCTTCTTTCCTTCTCACTTTATTATTTTCCCCACTTTGGTGTCCCTCCTCATCTCCCTCCAAGTTTTCCCGCTTTCCTGCTCCTCCCCCTCCCTTAACACTAAAAGCCTTTTTCCCTTGGCCCCTTTGATACCAAAAGCCTTCCTCCCTTGCTCCCCAAAGCCTTTTTTCCTTGCCCTCCATGCCACCCAGATCCTTACCCCCTTGCTTTGCTTGCTTCCAAAACCCTATTTCCCTCCTGTTGCTCAGGGGGTGCTTTGATTGTGTTTCTCCTGCATGCAGAATGGAGTAGGACTGGATGGCCTCTGGGGTTTCTGCTATTATTATTATTATTATTATTATTATTATTATTATTATTATTACAAAGGCTGGATGACCATCTGTTAGGGGTGCTTTGATTGTGCTTTTCCGGCATGACAGAAGGGGGTTAGACTAGATCGCCCCAGGGGTCTTCCAATGAAATACTGTTAAATTTATATTGGTTAAAATTGTTCATTCTTTCTTTCCCATCATCATCACAGGCATGTTGGGAGAGGTCCAAGAGAAATCCTTCTTAGACTTTTGTACCAGGCTGTGAAACTCCCTTGTATGGCAAGCTCAGTTGGCCCATTGGGAAAAGGCAAGGTATAAATTAAATAAAATAATAAATTAATATAATCCTCTGTTCACTTTCTTGGAATTATACCCCACCGAACACAGCAGAATTTGCTTATAAGTAAATAAATATGTATATGGTTGAGCTGCGTGTGCTTATTTTTCCTTCTCAAATTTTAAGAGCTCAAACAAAATTAAGTTCTAGTTCTATCCACAATACTTTACCATAAATGCAAATAAATCCACATATTAATTTCCCAAAGATTAATGACAGGATTCAGGAAACCTATAACTCACATTGTAATTCATATTAATGAAATGAGAAAATAATGGCTACGTGATAACATTTTTAAAAACCTTTACATACTTTCTTAACGATGCTCAGTACATCTTTGTCTTTCTCTTCACACAGCAGCTTTCTCACAGACATCTCCAGCTGCTGCCTTAAATGTTTATTTGTAGGAATCTTGAGGGTAGACTTTACTTTGGGCAACAAATAGCAAAGCTTCATTCTAAGCGGGGAAAATAAGATTTATATGAAAACAATAAAAATAAAATAACTGAAAACCAATTTAGAAAGTCAAAGTTTTATCAGCATTCCTTTTATGCATGTATGCTTATGATTACACAAAAGTAATCAAAACATATATAAAACATTATTAACAATTTTCAAGACAATCCACATTTATCACATTTACATTTATACAATTACCCTGTTTCCCTAAAGATGAAGCAGGGTCTTATATTGATTTTTGCTCCAAAAGATGTGCTGGAACTTATTTTCAGCATTTATTCAAATATAGTCATGTCATCATGTTTCATGTTCATCTGTTTACATAGTAAATGGCGGATAAACCCTTTACCCAGGAAAGCAGACACCCTCCAAATGAATTGAACTCAAAAGACCCCTAAGGTGATGCCATTTTTGTATTTCCCTACAGTATGACAGATATTGTACAATAAAGAAATGCTTAGCAATAAATGCTATAAGCTACTGGAGAGCTATACCATTCTGCCACTGAATATAAACTAATTTCTTCTGGCCTGCTGTTTAATGACCATTTTATGTACATTGCAACGTGATAAAGAAACAGACAAACTGCCAATAAAAAGTTGAATGTTTGCTAAAATAGAAAAGGTGATGCAGTACTTTTCTGCATATTTGAGGTGTAGGGACATTTGTCTATGTTGGGGATAACGCTCTCAGCTCTTCAAACTAACCACAACTAAATAAGGTATTCTCCGGATGTGAATTTGTGGACATCTTGAACAACATGATAAATTCTGCTGCACACACATTAGGAATTTAATGAATTGCCACACTCACATCCTTGCTTTTTGTGGCATTATTTTTACAGATTGCCTTTTAATTACAAGAAGTCCTTTGTTCCTGTTTTCTTTTTGTATTATTTGGAAGAGTACATAGAAAACAGATTTCAATTTATTACAAGGAAATATTTTTCAGATCTCTTAATTTTGCTTAAATCTACAGGCATTATGCCAACTGTGTTTTATTTCTTATGTTATTAAATACTTATCTGTTGTGAAGTCAACAGTGGCCTTACTTAAATAACAAAAACATTACCAGCTGATATCAAAATGGCTGTATTCGGAACAGCCAGCTTCTCTGAGGATCAAGTTGTTTCTATACACCAAACCCCACTTGCTCTCCAACATGACAGACTTAATGCATCAGAAAAATCTAGACAGTGCTGGCTAAAATATGAATTAAGAGCACAAGAAGAGCTCTGTTGACTGGGCCAAAGGTTCATCATATCCTGTATTCTCTTCTACTGGGGAAAAAAAATCAGGAATCTTCTTAAAGAATCAACCTGTTCCTACAATGAATGGATTACACTAAGAGATATCAACTTGGAATCGCTCAAAGAATATTAACAACTGTTCATATTAACAACTGCATATTGTTCATATTAACAACTGCATAGCTGTTGTAGCATGTGGCAATGACTGAGCTTTGGGATGATATAAAAACATACATATCCCCACGTATGTACTCATGTTTGTTCATTCGTTCAGTCGTCTCCGACTCTTCGTGACCTCATGGACCAGCCCACGCCAGAGCTCCCTGTCGGCCGTCACTACCCCCAGCTCCTTCAAGGTCAGTCCAGTCACTTCAAGGATGCCATCCATCCATCTTGCCCTTGGTCGGCCTCTCTTTTTTCTTCCACTTTCCCCAGCATAATTGTCTTCTCTAGGCTTTGCTGTCTCCTCATGATGTGACCAAAGTACTTCAACTTTGTCTCTAGTATCCTTCCCTCCAATGAGCAGTCGGGCTTTATTTCCTGGAGGATGGACTGGTTGGATCTTCTCGCAGTCCAAGGCACTCTCAGAACTTTCCTCCAACACCGCAGTTCAAAAGCATCTATCTTCCTTCGCTCAGCCTTCCCTAAGGTCCAGCTCTCACATCCGTAGGTTACTACAGGGAATACCGTGGCTTTGACTAGGCGGATCTTTGTTGCCAGTGTGATGTCTCTACTCTTTACTATTTTATCGAGATTGGACATTGCTCTCCTCCCAAGAAGTAAGCGTCTTCTGATATCCTGGCCACAGTCTGCATCTGCAGTAATCCTTGCACCTAGAAATACAAAGTCTGTCACGGCCTCCACGTTTTCTCCCTCTATTTTCCAGTTGTCAATCATTCTTGTTGCCATAATCTTGGTTTTTTTTGATGTTTAGCTGCAACCCGGCTTTTGCGCTTTCTTCTTTCACCTTGATTAGAAGGCTCCTCAGCTCCTCCTCGCTTTCGGCCAGCAGAGTGGTGTCATCTGCATATCTGAGGTTGTTAATGTTTCTTCCAGCAATTTTCACCCCAGCTTTGCATTCATCAAGCCCCGCACATCGCATGATGTGTTCTGCATACAAGTTAAAAAGGTTGGGTGAGAGTATGCAGCCTTGCCGTACGCCTTTCCCAATCTTGAACCAGTCTGTTGTTCCGTGGTCAGTTCTTACTGTTGCTACTTGGTCCTTGTACAGATTCCTCAGGAGAGAGACAAGGTGGCTTGGTATGCCCATCCCACCAAGAACTTGCCACAATTTATTATGATCCACACAGTCAAAGGCTTTAGAATAGTCAATGAAGCAGAAGTAGATGTTTTCTGAAACTCCCTGCCTTTTTCCATTATCCAGCGGATATTGGCAATCTGATCTCTCGTTCCTCTGCCTTTTCTAAACCCAGCTTGAACATCTGGTAACTCTCGCTCCATGTATGGCATGAGAAATAAGGGCCACTGTACGGAAGTTTGAGCAGTCTTTCGCATTTCCCTTTTTTGGTATGGGGATATAAGTTGATTTTTTCCAGTCTGATGGCCATTCTTGTGTTTTCCATATTTGCTGGCATATGGCATGCATCACCTTGACAGCATCATCTTTTAAGATTTTAAACAGTTCAGCTGGGATCTCGTCGTCTCCTGCTGCCTTGTTGTTAGCAATGCTTCTTAAGGCCCCTTCAACCTCACGCCTCAGGATGTCTGGTTCTAATTCATTCACCACACCGTCATGTACTCATGTAGGGGTGTGTATTATAAGACCTCCTTATATGTGAGATCAGTTGTGGCAGTATCATTTATCTGAACTTAACAAAATATGTCCTCCTTAGGCATTCCGTGGGTATGTTTTCTTCAAAAGTCATTCATTCAATATTATCCATGATTTTCCATAGGAGTCATGTTGTATGTGCATATGCATATAGGGTATAGCATGTTAATAAATAAGAAATGCTTCTATTTTACACATTTTAAAAACATACACAATGTTTCCCAAACAACCTGCATTACACAAGATAACTTGAGCAAGCCACTTAAATCTTTTTGTACAACTTTTTTATATTACCTCACATTTGCTACTGGATCATGTGTAAGCTCAAGCACCGGGAGGAAGAAGTATTCACAGAAAAATGATTTGGAAAAGAGTTCTATGATGATTTCGCAGGTATCTAAAAAACGCAATCTGTTCCAGTAGCTTTTTCCTTGGCCCAATTCTGGAAAAAAACGTGTTTAAAAGAAACACTTAATCACCATCTGCAGATTTTTGTTTGTTCGTTGGCAGAAATGTACAGAAATGAAAGCTTAACCACCACATACTTAGCTAATCATCTTAATGATAACTTAAAGGGGTGATTTCATTACAGTCAGATTGTTTCCAGAAAGTGTTTTATCTCTTTAGCAATGTTATAAATATGACAGTCACAATTCCCATCAAAATATACTCTTACTATCCTGAACAAAATGAAGGGATTCAGGAAGGATCAGGGCCTCCTTTACCCTTCCTATTTTTATGACCTTATGACCTTATTTCCCTTCTAAATAGGTTTTAAGATTACATCTGTATCAGGTATTTTTGGACTCCAACTCCCACAAAACTAATAGTAAACTGGCTGGGATTTCTGGGAGCTAAAGTTTGCCCTTGCCTGGTATGCACTCATCAAATTATTCCTTAATAAGGTTTCCAAGCTTCTAACCCTCATATTTCTTCATGTTTTTTGTTTGGGGGGGGGGGGGCAGGGAAGCATAGCACCAAATAACTGGTTACAACCTTCAGTTTTTATGCCATTCAAATGCTCCTGAAAAGGGTTTGGTTTGGCTTACACAATTTGGAGATCTGTATGATAGAGGTCTTGAACACAAATCAAACTCAAATGTACTTCCCCTCAATTGAGTATATTTGAAGACAAAAAAACCAAACCGAACTTTCACCATCTTTGCTAGAATTAGATGAATTTGCAGCATACTGTACTAGACCATACAGAGGACTTTAAAAAAACCAACCAGATTTCAGACCAGTATCTTGTTTCTTTTTAAATGAAACTATAATACAACAGGCCTTCTATATCAATGGATTCAACTATCCATAGCTTGTAAATATTCCCCCACCTGCCAAAAAATCCCCAAATAAAGAATACCGTATACATAACAGGACTTGATTTTGGTATCCATGGAGTTCCTGCAATCAAACCCCTGTGGATACCAAGAGTCCACTGTAGCTATTTCTTGGTAGGAATAAAGGAAATATGCAGGTATGGTTGCTTCTTTTAAAGAAATCAGTACGTCTAATTTCAATTGATAGTCTATCTAGGAACACGTGTTTCATGAAGTACTTCTTTTTTTTAGGAGCAAACAGAAAAAGAATATAGAAAAGAGAGTTTGTTAAGGTTTTAATTATTTAGGTTTTAATTATTTCAAATATTCTCTTGTAACAGGCCATGTGTATTCGGTTGCCAATTTTTTGGCCTGGGAATAAACCTATGGAGTATAGTTCTAACCTGACATACAGTCAAAAACAGAATATAACATGTATTAAAATGTGTGTTTGCGAACCTAATGGCACTTTATGCAAATTAACATTACTTTGGAATTTTATAAAATGCTTACAATAATGTAAATAAGATAAAGGATGAGAATTCTGGCACTTCTAGCAGGATTGTGAGATGTGAAAACAAAGTAACGAAGGAGTCTCAGACAGAATCCAAATTAGCTTGCAAGCAGCAGGAACCCTCATTTCCTCAGTCTAATGAAATAGGTGTACAGAACCCTTGTTGTGGGAGGGGGGAGGGGTTCAAAAAGGAGAGGGAATTAAAAATGATAAAGCAGCAATAACAGCAATAGCAGCAGATCGGAAGCTTCTAGTGTCAGCAGTGGAGTGATTGAACTTCAGCAATACAGGAGCAGAATCAAGCTTAAAAGTTATAAAAGATTCTATTACAAAAAAAACACTACATAACCAGATAGGGAAGTAAACAGGATCTAGCTATCTATCTAGCTAACTCACTAGCTATCTATCTAGCTAACTCTTCTCCTGTGAACTCCATGTTCATAGGAGAAGAACAAAAGAAAGACAAAATAGAGGATTTATGACCCCATCAGACAGTCCAAAATCAGCAGGATACACCAGTTGTTCTCCAGTTTTGCCACAATGCTTGTTGGTTCCCATCCCACAACGTACATCTACTTCCAGTGGGGCTCTGTGGCAGAACTGGAGAGGCGTACGGCGCTGCGGCACCAACACGGGAGGCTTCTAGTGTTGCATTAGGATCAACAGGAGGAAGCCAGGCAGTACGCTTCCTCCTCTGGAATGCAATAAGGGGGAAGTCGGGCAATGTGGGGCGTAGGGTGACAGGTTCCATCACCCCCCACTAAGTACTGCTGACTTCACCATGATCTGTGGTTATTGCAGAAGCAAATGGAATAAGATCCCTTAGGGGCTTGCCATGGGCTCAGAAAAAGAGGCATGTCCATGCGATCTATCAGCCTAGCATGAAAGGTGTTAGGAGAGAATAGACAAAGGCAGACAAAGAGGCCAATGGGGCATGGCTTTTCTCTGCCAACTAACCCATCTGCCTATCTAAGTCCTTGATAACAACAACAACCCTATGCAGGATGTCGTTGAGTTCCAACAACCTGTTGTTATATCCTTTGGGAGTGAGATAATCTGATAATCTTTGGTTGGCTCTTCATCTAACTGACTACTTTTGTAAGAGAGGACAATATAAGTTCCATTACTGGGTTCTAGGGGTTGAAGGAATATCAGAGAAAAAGACAGAACATATGACCCAGTATACTAGACAGTATCAATTCTTGAAACAGCTGTGTTGTGCAGTTGTGAGCACAAACCAATGGGGAAATTGGAAAGGGACATCTTATTTTTATCTGTTGCAACAAGATGGTGCTACCAATCAGGCATCAGCATACTATTTGGTAGCCATAGTCATAACCAAGATGTCCAACACTGATGCAACAGTGGTAACAGAAGCCTGCAGTGCAAATTTCCATAAGCAGTTGATAAAGTGTGAAATTAAGCCAAGGTTTAATATTAGTTTTACTTAAGTTCTGTGTTATTTGTTGAAGAAATAAAACAAGGAAACTGGGATGCAGGGAAACTTAATACATCAGACCATACTTGTGACAAGAACATACAATGAAATGATGTATGGTTGAAGAGCAGGGTATAAATACTCTAAACAAATAAACAAATAAATAAAGATCAAATGAGGGTGGACATGAAAGGAAAAGCCATTTTTCCTTCTCTTAAAAAAAATCCCTGCTGCAGAAATGAGCAGCTGGCTTAAGTTGACAAACCTGACTCCTAAATTTAATGGATGAGTATTCAAGTATACTTCAGTCCACAGGCAGCCATGTGACAGTGACAAATTATAAAATTTCAATGACTTTGCCTGGAGCCTTGTCAAGGGAACAGATTTTAATTCATTGGTAACCCAAAGTCCAAATAAGTGGTATATAAACCTGACACTGGGAATAATATCACCACCCTCAGTCCACTCTTGGTCCACTCTTGTTTTCCTGTGTAAGTTTTCCTATATTTAAACTGCCCTAATGGAATGAAGTGTGGAAGCCTGGCTGCTTTAGTCAGGAGCTACACAATGAGACATTAATTTCTTTGTTGACAGAGAGAGAGAGATGCAGAGAGAGGAATGTAGTCCTTTTGAATGTTAGAGAACCATGTATATTAGACTCACTAAGATGAACACAGCCTTCATGGTTTTTGTTTTGTTTTTTTTTTTAATTAAATGGTGTCTCAGCTTGGACTCACAGAAAAAATAACCTATGGTGTTGTTTTGTGTACTTTCAATGAAAAAATAGATTATTTTACCAATATAACAAAGCATGACTCATTTCTTTTTAAAGGAAAGAAAGCATTCAAGGGTAGAAGATACATCACCATTACTCTGTTCAGAAATATGCCCTTTTATGGGACAAGAATGATATTCAGGTTTAGCATTCTTCCACCCTGATTGGGGCACAACATGCAAAGAGGATTTATACTTCAAGACTTCCAGAGTGGATGCTTGAATGCTGCAGCCAATGCTAAACAACTCATCCCTGTCATTTTAATGTTGATATTTTAACCTGTTTGCAGCTGGGATGCTAAACTTGGTTTGTATAGTTCGCTTTTAACTACAACTTATTGTTGTGTTTCATTGGTTATTTTCATTTTAATTGAAATGTTTTCTGTTATTTTTTGTAAGTTGTTATTTTATTTTACTTGGTGCCGCTCATTGTTTTGAATTCTTGTTGTATTTTATATGTTCTGTGTCACACTTTTGTTGCCTTGTAAGCCATCCCAAATCCCTTTAGGAAGATTTTTTTTTTGTCGTGTCAGGGGTGACTTGAGAAACTGCAAGTCGCTCCTGGTGTGAGAGAATTGGCCGTCTGCAAGGACGTTGCCCAGGGGATGCCAGGATGATTTGATGTTTTTATCATCCTTGTGGGAGGCTTCTCTCATGTCCCCGTATGAGGAGCTGGAGCTGATAAAGGGAGCTCATCCGCCTCTCCCCGGATTCGAACCTATGACCTGTCGGTCTTCAGTCCTGCTGGCACAGGGGTTTAACCCACTGCGCCACCGGGGACGGTGGTGGGATATAATTAAAGTTGTTGTTGTTGTTGTTGTTATTACCACCCCCTTCATTTAGCTTTGTCTCGTCTTATAGTAGTGTTATATTGAAGAAATGTACCGTTTGCAACAATACAGATTGTACCGTGTATTGCAATAAACACTGAAAAAGAACCAGGACAAATCAAACTATTTCCCCTAAGTACAGGAAAAAAGTGGAATCAATAAACTGTGCACAATGAAGGTTACAACACAAAGTCAGTAATTAAACACAGCAGCAATGTGTTGTCTAAGGCTTTCATGGCTGGAATCCCTGGGTTGCTGTGACTTTTCCAGGCTGTACGGCATGCCTCTGGGCATGCCTCCCATAGATGTGGGAGAAACGTCAGGAGAGAATGCTTATGGAACATGGCCATACTGCCCAGAAAACTCACAGAAACACAACAGCAATGGTTAAACTAAGATAGAGAACAATACAAGCTTAAGAAGGAAGATCAAATAGTAGTCATAACTGAGATGACAGTTGATTTTCAAAGGAAAAATAAGCTATGGTGACTTCATATTTTGCAAGATTGACTGTCAGATGAAATAAACCATAACAGAGTACTGGTGGTTTGACTATTAGATGGCAGAACAATTAGTATGCCCTGGATTATTTTTACTAAGAATTAACAGGCTTAAGCCTTGGTATGAAAACTAATGCAATAATGAAATATTGAGTATCTAAGAAGCCCAAGAACTCTGTTCAACTATATATTTATTAAAAAGGAATGTTTCACATAACCTATGAATATTTATATGGCTATTTATATTCTTTCATGTCTTGCCATTCATGGCTCACTTATTTTGAAATGTTGCTATTTTATGTAAATTCTTCTGAAGCTATAATGCTGCTTAGATAAAGTTTTACCATGACAGAAATGGTATACAAATAAACTGATGATGATGCAGAAAACAAACGAAGAACCTTATGAATATGAAGTGTTTGCTCTGTCAGAAAAATAGGGAATTTGACAATTTACACCGTTCTACATTAAGAGCAGTTTTGTATGAGGCCATCATACATCATTTGCTCATTTTTACTGGGGTGTTACACAGTGGCCTTCTCCATTTGAACCTCCTTGCTTTTCCACTGTTTCATCCATCTTTTGCCCTGCTGAAGAAAACCCATTACAGAGAAAGATAGTATAGCTGTACAGTGCCCCTGTTGGCATGATGAGCATATCAACCCGCAATTGCTTTTTCTTTCACTAAAATAACATTAGAACAGAGAGAAATTCAGGACTCACGTTCAATCAGTTTCTGGATTACTTCATGTCTCTGTTCTTGCTTGCGATTATAACGTAAGTAGACACACAGTGTTCGAGCAGCGGCTTTTTGGACTGGTAAGACATTCTTTATGGAAGGAGAAAAATGAATTTAAATTTACTATATTCTCTATAGCTACTGAGTGCCACATATTGTTAAGAAAAGCAAATCCTGGATGAAGAAAAGAGCAGTGTATTAATACCTTAGCTTCTGGAAAGGGGGGGGGGGGCTTTGTATGGCATCTGTCCAAAATACTCAACATTCCACAAGTAAATCAGAAAAGTAACCCTTAAAATATGAAGCACAAGTATATGGCATCAGATAATAAATTCTGAAAGATACTCACTTATTATCATTTTGTTTCTACAACTTGCTTTATTTATTATATTTTACGCATAGGACACATGCCTAAATTCTCAAAATGTGACATTTTCCTATGCAAAGACAATCCCAGTGGGGGATTTGTTATGTTGGTGTGAGTCTTAATTTTGCTAATTAATGAATGAGTCAGGAAGAGGGGAAATAAAAGCAGTGTTACTTATGAGCAAAAGTTGATCTTTCCCAATCACTGAAATGAAAGCAACAAACTATGGAGTCAGGTAAACTCTGGATTTTTCAACTTATATCTCTGTAGCAACCAACACAATGGGAGATGTACCTTTGACACCATAATTCTAAATCTACTCATCATGGATCCTAAACTCATATGTGACATAGTTCTAAATGAATTGAGAATAAAGATGTACACATTTGTGAATCTTTAAACAGAGCTCCCCTCTGTGTGGTTTTTTTTTTGTTTCAAGGTCATTATTAGAAATTAGAGAGTACTTTTCACATTCCATGAAGGAACTGAATGTCTTCTAAACATTTATTCTGAGTTCCAAAATATATAGTCAGCTAGTGAAATTCACATGAAATTGGTACAGTATGTTCACACTAGTAGTTGTTGCCTTTTGCACTCGTGGATGGTTCTAAGCTGTTTTTATACGTAAGCCCACATCTGTATTACAGTAATTTAGTTTGGACAACATCCTGAGCTATTCTCCATAAATTTGTCCAACCTTTTGTTAAAAATCTCTTAACGCGCACTTTAGGGCTAAATAAAACGGAAACCCTGACAAAGCAACCTATAGTCAAGTCTGTTTACTACATGCACAATAGTTGCATGAAAGGAGGAAGACAGGACAACTTAAATAAAAGATTAAAAATAACATCAAGTAGCCATGGGAAAAGAGATGGCTCCAAAACACATATTTCTTAAATGCCTAGTTTCAAGGGATATTCAGAGTCAAGGAAGAATGTGAGGAGTGGATTAGAAAACCATTTATATAAAGAGTGCAAACCCATTGTATAACAAATGCCTGCACAAATGATTTACCACTACAAGATTCTAGCCTATCTCAGCTTGCATGCCAGCATTACTTGGTGAGAACCATTAAACTAACCAAGAACTACTACACTTCTCTTCTTTCGTAAAACATAAATGGCATTTGCCTACTGGTTCCAAAACCTTTGTCTGAATAGTAGCACTTTGGATCACAGATAAAAGCACATATTATTCCTCTACTCTACAGGAATGTTACTTGTAGCAAGGAAACTACATCTTATAACTCCCCTTTGTCCTAGTTTTGGGAGAACAAAGAGGAGGAAAAGGGAATACAGTTAGGGGGAAGAACAGTAGAAGCTAGAATTCTATGTGCAGGGATTGTCTTTCACTTGCTATGGAAGATTGTTCCATCACAAAAATCTGGTAGCTGAAAATAGTAGAGCCCAATTATAGGTGAATTATATCAGTGGTGAGTGGGTCTGTCAGTCATCAAATATAGAAAGAGGGAGAGATTGAAAACCAACTCATGATACTTGAGAAAGAAACAGATAACAAAGAGAAGGGTCATAATGAACTCACATTTGTCATAATGATTGTCAGCATTCTGTGCAAAAAACGATAATAAATCTGATCACTTGAGATGACATGAGGCAGGCAAGCATACTTTTGTAGTAACTTCTCATGGGTCCTCCATTTTAAAGAAGTTGCTGCTCTCTGTTCCGCTCTTGTTAGTGCCGGAATCAACTCTGGAAAATTTAATAACTGAAGAAAAAAGAAAAAGAAAAACTAATTATATATTAGATAACACAAGTATTTTAGATGACTTTTTATGGAACAAGGTAGTACACTTATCCAAAAGAGAATACAGTAAAATATTATACTTTTTATTATTTATGTCCCATTTTTCTCTTCACAAAGGACTCAAGATACAATCATCATAATACAAAAATTATAAGACAGAAGCAGAGAAAATTAACAAAATCATTTCCATAAAAAACATCATCCATGACATCAAGAATCCTAAGAAATTAAGTTGAAAATAGCAAATACTGTATTTTCTGGTGCATAAGACTACTTTTTTAACCCAGGAAAACCTCAAAAGTCGGGGGTCGTCTTATACGCAGGGTGTCATCTTATAGGGCGGGTGCTGAAACTTCCGAGCCGGACTTGAGAATTTGTGGTTGTCGCATATGGTGAGTGGAGCTCAAAAATGGCCGTGGCCACATTCCTGCTGTATGCGGCGACTGTATGAAAACAGCAAGGGCGGTGCTGTACAAGTACGTTAGAAGAAAATCCACTCACCAAGATTTGTGGAAATAAGTGACTTGCTGCGGTCCCGATGACGAGGTGAGGGGGAGCCTCACTGGGAAGGTTGTAAGTGAAGGGCAGAGCAAGCTGCAGGCGTCCAGGACGCCGTAGGTATGGAAAAAATAGATTAGACCGGTGCTGTGCCCAGAAAAACACACCACTTTCACCTGTCTGGCCCACCCTTGTATCTTATTACTGTACCTTCTTCTCTGTCTCTCAGGCATGCATGTGCAAGATTGGAAAGGCAGAAAAGGAGGTATGGTAATAGGAAAATTACCATACTGAAACCAAATCTGATGATCTTTTAAATTTTTATTTGGTGTGCGTTGAAAGAGGGATATACAGCGAGTATAGCCCGAACTCTATATTTTAACTGGAAAAATTGGAGGTCATCTTGAAAGCTCAGTCATCTTATATGCCAGAAAATACGGTACATGTCTTTTTAATTTACACAGACAAGTTTACTAATCTTGCCACACAAAGTATTTTTGTGGGCTGCAGCTGTAAAGGAAAGATCAACAACTCTTCCTATCTACAAAGAAATCTAAAAAAAAAATCAAAACGGGTTAAAGAAAATTATTATAAGTTAATATGGAAATGGTACCTAACACCAGTAAGAATAGCAAATATAAATAAAAACTATTCAAAAAATGCTGCAGAGGATGTCAAGAATAAGGAACATATATACATATGTGGTGGCAATGTAAATATGTAAATAATTTGGGGGGGGGGAAGTATTTAGAGAAATAGAAGATATAAAGAACATTAAAATAGAAAGAAGTCCTAGTATAGCTTTATTATCATTATATAATAATAAACAACTGAAAAAAGAGAATAAAGATGCAATAACAAATTTATTAACAATAGCAATACTGCTTACAGCAAGGAACTGGAAAAGAGAAACAAATATACAAATAGAGGAGTGGTATAAGGAAGTATGGATATTGGCAATAAATGATAAGCTGACGTGTATATTAAAAGTTAAAAGAGGAAACAAAGTGATTTTTATGATGTATGGAGAAAATTTATTGAAAAAGGATTAAAAAATAAAGAAGGAAAGTTACCTCCACAAGAAGAATTGAAATTTTGGACAGATGATATGTAAAAGCCGTGGCTTGGGAGTGGGGGGAGGGGAGCACAGCGGTGAGAGATAGATAATATGTATAAGCAGAAAAATAACACTAGATGCCAAAAGTTAAAGCATGGGAGGTTGTATTGAATAATATGTATCTGCTGTAAAACAAACAATGTATAACAAAAGTATTAAATCATGATAAAATAAAAAATATTATTAAAAAAACCCAACTCTTCCTATCTGCTCACAAATGTCTCAAACATGTTCATGAGTCTCTTAAATCTCAACCAACTTCATTTAGTTAATGCTATGTGCTGCTTTTATATGTATGTTTGCTGCATTGAATTTTGCCATGTTGTACACCACTCTGAGTTCCCCTCGAGGTGAGAGAGAGCAGTATAGAAATGCAGTAAATAAATAAATAAATAAATAAATAAAGTTCATATCCGGAAATAGTTACAGATTTAATATAGTAGTCATATCTCCTGAAGACTAGAAGATTCTCACTGCTATCTAGGGGAATTGTGTTAAGAAAATGCTTACCAGTAGGAATAGGGTTCTGCAACCATAATCCCTTACCTTACTGTCTGATCCACCACCTTCCCCTCCAGTAGACAACAATTCAAGGATTTCAGGAAGGTGACCTATTAATGCATCTAACACCTAGTTAAAGAAATGAAGGATCACTCAGATTTCCAATATCCATTGCAACATTCTCCTTGTGTGGCAAATATGTAACTTCAATGATCCCTGTTACTTATTACAAAACTAGAGAACTAAGAAGGCATGTTGATCTACACCTTCCTGAAAGATAGAATTACTGATGGCAAGTGAAGTAGATCAAGAGTCAGAACACTTCCATCAAGCAGAAGGCTAAAGATCCTGCTGTTACCTGCTGTTATGTGCGAGTGCTGAGATGTATGAATTCCTGTTAGTATTGTGCTAATGTCAACATTAAGTAACCGGGTCCTTGACTGATACTGAGGCACTGCTTGCTTCACTGTTCTTACAGGTAATAAATGTCCTTAACTCACTCTTTACTTGCCCTTATTACCAGTGCAGAATTCAGCTGTGCAGAATATCTCATCATGAATTCTGATCTGGATGAAAACATTCCCGAAATAATCATCCCAAGTGACTTGCTCCATTAAGTAACTGCATTTATAGTTTTGGAGTTTTGTTTTTTAATATTCAATCTAAATCTTCACTGTCACTGTGTTGTTCTTTCAAGTAATTTCTAGCTTATAGAAAGGTTAGGACAAAACTATTATGTTTTTTTTTCTTAGCAAGATGGTTCAGAGCTCCATATTTTCAGCCTGTCTTGGGGTTGTGCTTAAGTAAAAGACTTCAGTCAACACTTGCCGATGAATCTATACTAAACACCTACCATTATGAGTACACAGTGAAACAAACTGAAATGATTCATCCCATCAAGCAGTTCTTATTATGTCTTCTTATAGTATCATTTAGGAAAATTGTAAATGATATTAATGTAAGCAACAAATATGTTATTACCTCTAATGACTCATCTTGTAATAGGGCTACCAGTTCTTTATGTATTACATACACATCGGTATTTAAAAGCTTAGCAACCTGAAAAATAAAGTATCAACACAACATGGCCATTAGTCCTTTTAATCTCATCATGTTTACTTTTCAACAAAGCTTGAATACCCAGCAGGAATCAGGTATATACCAGATCTCTAATGCCAACAAGCATTCTTAAAGGCTACTGAGGCCATGCTCTTTCCACACTGCTTGCAATTTAGCAACATGTTGCTGGAAGCATCAAAAAGCTTATCTCATCAGTTGTGCTTCTTGGAATTGTGCTTTTGGGGACTGAGATGGCAGTTTGCTCATTTTTTAAATACTTCAAATATTTTCTGAAATATCTTTCAGACATTTTAACATTCTTCTGATGTGTAATTCTTACTTACCTTAATACATACATCTGATCTGTTGCTAGTGGGCAGATACATTAAGTATGGTTTTGTAACTTTAGAATTCCACAGTAGAAGAGCAATTTCTAATATTGCCCACGCAGCAAATAATGGGGGGGGGGGGTAGTTAAAACCTTGCTAACTGATGGTATTGGCAGTCTTGAAAAGGCCAATCCCAAAGAAAACCTAAAATAATAATGCTTTTGTCTAGTCTCAGTATTTTCTTTAGGGACAAAGTACTGAATTGGGTAGTGGTTGTTTAATCCCCATTTGAAATTACAATCTGAAAGTATAAAATGGATTGAATTGAGCAATTAAATTTTATCTTTTAATGATGTAACAATAATAAAATGTTTCTTGATAAAACATTCTCTTTAAAGGCTACAATTACAGCCAAAAAGAATGTGTAGCCCTCTACAAAGTGCATTCCATTTGAAATATTTCCAGTATTAGGAATATGTAGCTTACTGTTGTAAATAATGGGCGGAATAAAACCAGTGTAGCAATTAACAAAATGCACCAAATATCTGCATTTAAAAAATCTAGCAGGCAATTGTTCATTCCCAAGAAAAATCATTCAATCATAACTGAGGTTTTTTGTTTTTTTTTAAATGAAAATGAAACCTTTTCATGTTATCAAATGTTTTCAGTGATATGTCCAGTGATATTTTATATAGGTAAAGGTAAAGGTTTCCCCTGACATTAAGTCTAGTCATGTCTGACTCTGTGGGGCGGGGGGTGCTCATCTCCATTTTTAAGCCAAAGTGCCGGCATTGACCATACAAGTCTCCTAGGTCATGGACTGCATGGAGCAGCGTTATCTTCCCTTCAAAGCGGTACCTATTGATCTATTCACATTTGCATGTTTTCGAACAGCTAGGTTGGCAGAAGCTGGGCCTAACAGCAGGTGCTCACCCCGCTCTCCAGATTCGAACTGCCAACCTTTCAGTCAGCAAGTTCAGCAACTTAGCGTTTTAACCCACTGCACCACCAAGGTACCCATTTTATATAACAGTTATATATATATATTTCAGCAGTATTTTGTCTTTTGTATCTATACTACATCTCTCCACATCCTATTCCAACCATAAAGTTAACTATAATAACACCAATTTAAGCGGAGAAGGGCAAACAGATGATAGACTGAACAGCCAGCAACTGGCATGTGGAACAGAACTCAGGCCCCTTCTACACTGCCATATAATCCAAATTATCAGATTGGATAATCCATATTATCTACTTTGAACTGGATTATATTACACTGCCATATAATCCAGTTCAAAGCAGATAGTCTGGATTTTATATGGCAGTGTATAAGGGGCCTTAGCAACTGATAACTTCTCTGTGTCATCCCAAGAATAATTCTTTTTCCCATTGTTTATGTCATTTCTCAACTTACTTCATAGAAGCCAATAGCCATAGTGTGTCTGACTGGCACTTCGGGGTCATGGCAGAGACAAAAGAATGTAGAATACAATTCCAAATTGAAGTTTTTTGGATCCACAAAAACCATCATGGCCTAGGAACAGAAAATGATATAACATTTTAAAAGGAGGAAGAAAGGGGGAAAATAATAAATGTGGCAGCACCTTTAAGATCAATTGGTTTTTATTTTTGCATAAGCTTTCATGTATATAAACCCACTTCTCTGGGTGCAGTCCTGAGTGGAATTTAGCCCTCAGATATAGATGATATTTATACAGATATAGGAGTGGGACTGAATGAAGAAAGATCCAGAAAAGTGAAAAAACATGACCTTTACCCAAAATGATCAAAGGTGGTATTCAGGGTTTAAATATATAACTGGAGTTTTAACATGGCAACTAGATCTTTAAAAAGGACAATTCTAAGATAGGGGTTGATAAAATAAGAATGTAAGAAGAGCCTCATTGGATCAGGTCAAAAGGCCTATCTAGTCTACAATTATGTTCATAGAATGGTCATCAATGGCTTCTAGAACACCCGTACCCAGCAGAATGTGAGTGCAACTGCACTCTTCATCTTACTTTTCCCAAGAAATGAGGAATATTGCCTTTGAAAATGGAAGCTATATATAACTATCCTAATTAGTAGCTAGTGATGGTCCAATTCTCCTTGACTTTGTACAATCTCCCTTTACAATCCTCCAAGTTGGGAGTCATAACCACACTGATAAATAATTAACTTGTGGAATTATGTTCACAACATGTAGTAGCAGGCACTATTTTAAGATTTTGAAAAAGATTAGACAAATTAATGGAGAATTAGTAGGTCAGGATGCATATAACATCTCTGTGCCAAGAGGCAGTTTACCACCAAATAGCAGTTGAAGAAGAGCAACAGTATGAGAAGATTATTGTCCACATGACCTTCTTGTGATTTTTCCAGAGGTATTTGGCTGGGGCTCTTGATCTGACCCATGGGATCCTTCTTATGTATTCAACCTTGTCATACCAATGTGTTCATAATGAAGCATTAGTAAAGCAATTCCACCATTGAACACATATTGGAACCTAAGAACTCTTAGTTTTGTGGCACAAGAAGAAACTATAGAACAATTGCCATCAATACTTATGGAAACAATTCTGAGGTGCTAAGAGCACCTAAGAACCACTGTAGTGGCTTCCGTGATTGACATGTAGTGTAATCCGGTTGCAAAAAATACCCCTTTCCACCTGTTCTTGTACAGTAAGAGGGAGAAATGTAATTTGCCATTTGCCTGCTCATCTGCGGCATACAATAAAGTCACCATGTGAACAGGAATGTTGTAGCCCCTGATTCTCTTTCAAAGCCCATCCTCTGCCACTGCTATCCCAAAAATCCCAATAGTGTCGAGGTTCTCTTTCTGATTCAGGCAAAGATATCCCAACTTTCTAAAGCCAGGAGTAATTTTACAAGACTCTACACAAATTATAAATGTATAGTTAAGTAAAATAGCAGTTCACTCACTGGTAAATTGTAAGCACAGTTCTTCCTCACTGATATGTACTTCTTTTCCTGTTCTAGGGTTTGGAGCTGTACCTGGTTGTCATTGTGCCCATTTTCCTGCTCTAATCCCAGTGTGCAAAGCTTCTTATAGAATTCCAAAAATCGCAAATGCTGCTCTGGTGTAAAAATCCCTTCAAACAAATAAAATACTTATTCAATATTTTACTTTCATAAACTGGTGCAAGAATAACCTGTCAAGAGAGCTGGGTTAGTGTAGCGGATAGTGTAAGATTTGGGGTTCTTGCAATATGAAGTTAAACCACTGCTCTCTCATGAAACGTATTGAGCAATATTGGCTATGTCATCCTGTCTGTTTATACTACTTCACACAGTTGTTGTAAAGTTTAAATATTCAACCCAGAACATGTAATGAATCCCTGAGCTCCAGAAATCCCAGTTCCACCCTCTCGTTTATTCTCATTTGACAACCCCCTTGGGAAAATATTGTACTTTAATGTGAAAAAGCAACACAAAATTGGAATGAACTAAGAACTTATCTACAAGGATAATATTTTATCTCTGCATTTTTTAATTACAAACAAAAAGGCCATAGCCAAGCAACCCAGAAAGCAGCTTTGTCATATCCAGCAATACTTCTCTTCCCCAAAACCTCCATATTACTTTGCAAACATACCTTAATGAGTACCCCAAATAATTACTTTTATGTATGATTTTATCCACATAGTTCTTTACAAAATAATCATAAAAGCTGCTCCAGATTTTGAGGATTTAAAGTGTCAGACTTGCTGCTCTAAGGTTCTTCTGCTGTGTTGCAAAAGTACAAAACAACATGGGTTGCATTCGGACTGATTGAAAAATGCCAGATTTTGTTCCTGCTTGTTCCAATTTTATACTGGATGAAGATAAACGAATGTAGGGAGCTGGAACAAAAGGTTTCTGATCATACTGGGAGCTGACAAAAATATTCTGGGATGAACAAAACACATATGGTTTTGTTAAAATAAAAAGGAACAAAACCTGAGACTTTGTGATTTTTTCCCCCAATTAGTCTGGATGTGCCCAAAGTACTACAGCATTGCAGGAACACAATTTGTTTATTTCTAAGCCCTTAAAACAGGCTTAGACAGAACCAAATTAGTGTCAGAAGCAACTTGAGAAATTGCAAGTCGCTTCAGGTGTAAGAGAATTGGCTGTCTGCAAGGATGTTGCTCAGTGGACACCTAGATGTTTTACCATCCTATGGGAGGCTTCTCTCATGTCCCTGCATGGGAAGCTGGAGCTGACAGATGCCATCTCACCCCATCTCACGGATTCGAACCACTGACCTTCAGGTCAGCATTTCAGCTGGCACATGGGTTTAACCCGTTGAGTCACCAAGGCTCAGCAAATACCTATGTTCAAGGTATTTGGAGATTTAAGATCTTCACACACCCTCCTCCAGACTTTGGAGGGGTGAGCTTCTGGCTGTTTTTCAGTTTTGAAATGACTCAAAATATTCCCTGCTTCTTGAAGGAAGTGTGGGAACAATTCTAATTGGGGGGATTTTAGATCCAGTTGAGCTTTTTTAATCCAGGAAGTACTGTAGAAAAAATCCCCATACCCAAAGTTAAATGGACTGGGTGGGGAAAATAAAGAATGGTAGCTATTGGTGGTGGTGGGGGGGGGGGGKGAGAGACTTTAAACTCAAGAATGGCCTTTCCTTACTTCTGCCTTAAGCTAATTTCTGCTTTATTGTGACATATAGCACACTGACAAGTTTCTCTTACCAGGAGTGCAATATGCAGTGTTTCYGAGCTAACATGGCCATTGGCAACACTGGCTGAAGGAATGTGAGAGCAGTAATCTCAAAGCATTTGCTGAATCTTAAATTGTGGAGATACCATTGAGGCAAAAATATTCATATAGTTATATTAAGCATACACAGGATAGACATAACCAAATCTGTATTTAAGCATTTTCCCCACATTCCTTAAGTCCTATGTATTGATGACCCCTGTATATATAATAGTATTGATCGAATAACATTAATCTGACATTTAATAGTGCTCAGGGTGTGTTAGTACAGGTTGAGCATCCCTTTTCCAAAATGCTTGGGACAAGAAATGTTTTACAGTGCAGTTTTTATTTTGTTTTATTATTTTTTTGTATTTTGGAATAATTGTTTTGAATACTCATACATATCTTGGAGACGAGACCCAAATCTAAACATGAAATTCATTTATGTTTCATATACACCTAATACACAAAGATTGAAGGTAAGTTCTGATACTTTTATTATTGGAACAAAGTGTGCATATATTGAACCATTAGAAAGAAAAGGTGTCACTTTCTCAGAAAGCCATGTGAACAATTTTGGAATATTTCAGACTCATGGATGAGAGATGCTTAATCTGTATGAGGAAATGGGTTTTCCATCAGCACTCCCAGAAGTACCTCTTCACATCAATTGTCTTAATAAGGAACATCTTTGCCTATATTCTGCTGGAATCTCGCTTCATTCTTTCCTATGATAATGTGCTACTTCAATGTAAGTGAATGTGGGAGACACAGGACTGTTATTATGACATTTGGTTCCTCTTAGCTCTGTTTTAGATCTCTATATTCATTGCTCAATGAGTTCCCATTATGTGAACTAAGTTATTACTGACAACATTTGTGGACCAATTCCCAACACCAATTTCTAGGGCAAATTACATTTCACTAAAAAAAAGTTTAAGAGAACTCCACAAACTGTCTTTAAGCCTTTGACCCTTTCTATTCAATAATTCTTTTGGTTCAATTGGTCATATTTAAGGCTTAGAAGAGTAATATACTCTGCTGGCAGTGGTTGATCTCAAAATTCTCCTGGCTTCAAATAATAACACATGCCTCCATCTTCTTTGTCCACTGCAGTCAGATAAAAGGTTTCCGGGAAAGGGGGGGGTGGTTGTCTGATTGCAATGATACTGATTTATGGTAACCCTAAGTCAAATCTATCCTGGTCTTTCTTTGGCAAGAAGGGGGTTGTCATTGCCTTCCTCTGAGGCCAAAAGAGTGCAAATTACTCAAGATAATCCAGTGGGTTTGTTTCCAAACTCTGCTTTTACAGAGTTTTCAACATCAAACCACTACACCACACACTGGCTCTCAAGAGTACATTTACCATATCTTTTTCTCATTCTGTTGCTATGCACCTCAAATCTTGGCAAAAATATTGATTATATATTCAAATAAATCACTAAACAGTATCATTCTTACCTATGTGGGCAATTAGTTTATCAGGTCATTTAATTAACTCTAGAACAGAAAATTGACGAGTGACATTCACACTCTTCAAATACTGCAAAGGCTGCCACATAGAAAAAGGTGGAGTGTTTTTCTCTGCAGTCTCAGAGGATAGAACTGGTTCTAATGGTTTTAAGTGACAGGAGGATAAACTATTACCATTAGAATGAACCCCTTGACAGTGAGAATAGTTTGGTAATGGGGTTAATTGCCTAGAGAGCTGGTGGTGTCTTCTTCCCTTGATGTCTTCAAAAAGAGTTTGGATAGCTACCTGCTAGGAATGCTAGCCAAGAGATCCTGCATTGAGCAGAGAGTTGGACTCCATGGCTCATAAACCCTTTCCAATGCTTTGATTCTTCCTGATCATATATCTTCTTGGATGTTCACTCCCATTTATGCCAGCATATTTATGCTTGTGAATGCAGTGTTTACAAAAATCAAACCCAAATATAATCTAGCATTTTGTTTTTTAAAAAGTTAAGGAGGACCTCCCAGTCTTACCATATAGTCCATTACAAAGCTTCCCTAAGTGGTAAGATAGTGAAACCAGAATAGATTCATCTGCTTTGAAGGATTTTTCACAGAATGATTTCACTAATGGAAGGACAGTTTGACTTCTATCATCTATGAAATAAAAAATAAAAGATCAGAAAGAAGAACAGATAAATTACAATATTGAATCAAAACATAAACATTAATATTTTGAAAACATTTATAACAGCTGGAGGAAGTGCTTTAGACCTAGGATCAACCTAATCTTACCTGCATCAAACATTTCTAGCAGATTGACCAAGGTCTCAAAAGCTGCAAGGCGTACACTACTACTTTCATCTCTTGCTAATTCTACCAGCTCAGGAAGCACTACATTTTTTGTTAGTTCGGTCCTATAAAAACAAGAAAAATAAGAATAACTATAACAAAACAACAAAGATGAGCAGACATGTTAGTTACTTTCCAGAGACACAAGGGGCAGGAGCCGGAAGAATATTCCCTTTATATGCTACCAGCGTATTCCCCTTAAATGATGAAGAAAGGTATTACTAGAGCAATAGAAGCACAAATCTCCTGCTCTGCAATGCTCATCTAAGACTTACATCTATGCTAAATGTTCAAACGGTTCTAGGTTGACCTCAGTGTTTTATGAGCTCTGACTAACATATGACTTTGACCTTTAAAAGAAACCCTCCCACTAACCTTTAGCATTTCTCCTGCCATGAAGGGAACATATGAATCACTGTCTAAGTTCTCATCCTTTGATGTATTGTAGTGCTGAAGACTCTAAAACCTACTTTCTGTTCTTAAAACTGGTGACTCTACCATCCTCAAAAGGAGACATTGGTGTCCTATCTCAATTGTGTCATAATTCATACTAGTTTTAACAGAATTTAATTTATAATTTGTTCGGTAAATTATCAACAGCCTTGAGCCAGATAGCTTGAAAAGGTGGAGGTACACTATAAATAAATACATAAATAAATAAATAAACAAACAAACAAAATAAATAGTTTGCTTCTTTCTTTCGAGTATTTCCTCTAACACCTTTCTTTAACAAACTTCTAGAGTGGTTTCGGTGTTGAATAAGCAACAATTACACTAAAAACAAATGCTATACCAGTAGAAATATGCAAATATGGTGATCATAATGTACCCTTAGATTTGCTCTACACAGCTTTGTTTAAACCATATTCAGTGTTGCCTATCAGGATGGACTTTGATTTTTTTAAATAAACCATTTGCAGCAGAATATGTGACCTTCAGGTTATTTTCAATTCTAAATCATCATGACTTAATCTTAACCTACAGAGTTAAGAGAAATTCAGTGAAATGCTTGAGGAAACAAGAAGAATATAAACCGAGCTGCAAATGCACATTGGGAGGGATGGGGGAGATTAAAAAGCTCTTGGATGGCTGGTCTGATAAGAAATAAGGGTTCCATATGGCTATGAGTAGGACGCATTAGTGTTTTATAGATAACCACAGGAACAGAAGGAAGGGAGATTAAAGAGAGAGAGGTAAATTAACACCATCGGTGGCATTAGTGAACAAACTCTATTTCCTATAAAGAACCATCTTTGGTCTCTAAAGGTAAACATGATTTTTCAGGTATCATATATTTCTATCTAGAACAATGATTCCATAATTTGCACTGAAAACATGTATATGCATGTAAAACCTGTAACAATCCACAATCCAAATGGTAAGAATATGCCTGTGGAAATCAAAATTCAAATAACTGGGGCCGGTGGTTTAGCATAGCTGGTAAATCATCAGCAATTATAAGATCTATCAACCAAAAGGTTGCAAGTTTGAAGCCTCGGGTTCAAAATGCATGGTAATTATGGTTATGTATAATTGTTTTAAAAGAATAATAAAAAATTGGGAAAAAAGGAGAGAGAAAGATTCAAAGAACAAGTAGTCTACTACTAAGAAAGCTCACAGCTAACATACTAATGTGTAAGTTGGCCTTATGTATAAGGCAACAGCAGCTTTTGGGGCTAAATTTATGGATTTTGATATGACACATGGACAAGATAAGGGTTATTCCGTAAATAGGGGAAAGGGCCACTGCTGCCTCAGAGGAACGGCCATCCCTGGACATTGTTGCCATTTCCCTGCCAATGCATTCAAAAAGGCTGGAAGTGTCACCAAAGAAGAGAGAGTAGAGTGTGTCAATGATTATTTTACGTTCTCCAGGCACATGCTAAGCTCTTGCTTTTTGCCACTCTACTCAGAGAAGAGATAGGTCTCTTTTCTGACATGAGTTAAGGTATAATGCTCACAATGACCCATGACCCAAGGATAAGTTGACTTTGGTTTGTTTGTTTGTTTATTTTACTATAATGTATAGACTGAAATATGAGTATATAGGATACATGGTTCATTTTCATTATCTTATCAAGACATCTTGAGAAAGACTATGTAGATAAAAGGTTCATGTTGCTTGGGAACAGAAAAATCTCACTGGTAACAGGTTGGCTATGTACTTCTATTCCAGCTAAAATCCATGTGTATTCCATGGTATTGTAATCAATCGGAGGCCTTCATTAGAGCAGAGAAATACAAGTAACTCTTTGCTTAATGCACACAGTTCCCTGAGTTCCATGCTGCCAGTGCCATCAAGCTGTTCAGGAAGAATCTGACAAACTGGCAATCTGTAACTTTACCCATATAATATGGTCAACTCCTGAAGCACATGCATAACCATAAAAACAGCAGGTTAAAGCACCAGTGATTCAATTTTCATGATTGTTTGTACCCTACCAGTTTGCCCGTAGAAGTATGGCACTGTCATACTAAATCAGTTCCAACTCAACCAAGAAGTCAAGATCTCAAGGAAAGCTTCCTTTCATTACCAAGAAACTAAGCCATCAAACCCTTAATGTCTCCCCACCCTGAATAATGCCCAATGATTTTCTGCACTGTGCTCCTGACCTACACTCTGTAACTGCCACTGAAATAAACATTATTTTTCTATTTAAACTGTAAAATAATAATTGGGCTCACCCTATTCCTTGAGATATGAGCTCCAGTTGTCGACACATGCAGGAACGAACTTCATATTCTACATCTTGGCAGAGAGATTTTACCAGTGGGAGAATTTCTCTTTTAACACTAAAAGGGAAAAATTATAAATTAACAGAAACAAAACCTTGAATCACCTAGCTAAGATACCCAGTTAAAATGATGTTCAATTCTATTGAGCTTGAGGTTTAAGTAAGTATTACATTTTTTTTTGGCCTATGAACAACAAATAAGGAGGGATTACTTTTACAAATATTAATATTACATGTTAAATTTTTCAGATTTCTACCCCTACATTTGTTCAATAATAAAATATTATCAGAAAACACAAGTAGAAATACAGGTCACTATTTTGTCACACACACACACACACACACACACACACACGAGAAAATGTAATGTAGATTTATAATAATATGAAAGTTAAGAGGAATAAAAGAACCAAAGATATATTTGTTTAGAACAGATCGGTCTGCTTCAGTATTTGTTAAGTCACACTGGATTTTTCTATTAGTCAACGTATGTATTAAGACTCAGCCATATGTTCCTAACAAAAACATTTTTGGAACAAATGTGAAGCCTTATAGAAGTACTGAGGACAGTCACTCAATTGTCATTCCTTTCCTTGGCACTACTGAGGACAAGAAGCATTGATTGCACATTAAGGGCCACCTTGGATAAAATTATTGAAAGAAAAATAGAATTATTTATTTATTTTATTTACAGTATTTCTATACCGCTTTTCTCACCCCTAGGGGGACTCAAAGCGGTTTACACATAACTGACAAAACTTCAATGCCATACATTGGACACTGACGCTTTGGAGAGAGAGAGAGAGAGAGCTAGCTTCATAGGACCTTATCTCACGGGTGGGAGAGACGGGGACTCATCTTATCCCGGCAAAGTTCATCTTTGGGGATAGCCAGCCATTCCACATCCCTCCCCCATCTTCCCACTTTCCCCCAATTCCCCCCTCTTTCTTCAATCAGGAGTGATTGAATTTGATGTTAGTAGATGTTAACCCCAGACTTCTGAAAATGAAGTCACTTCTCCGTTTTTGCACACTGGCCAGATCAATTCCCACGGTCAGCCACCAGAAGTGGCTGTGCATCATGGGATGGCCTCTGTAGGACTCTGTTTTGCCAGCATGCAAAAACAGAGAAAACAGGGTGAAAATTGAATGGGATAAGGTCCTAGGAGTAAACAAATTATGGTCCTCCAATTAATGTTGGACTGCAACAGTTAGCCTAACCAATGATGAGAAATGCCAGGAGCTTCAGTGAAGCATCTGAAGGACTGCACTTTACCCATATCTGTAAAAGTCAAACCTGGTGTTAACCGGCATCAACATGAAAATAAATAATAGTTCAGGCAATGTTTCCTATATCAGACTTCCAACAAAAAGGGGGAAATGGAATAGTACTATGGTGACCACTTCCCAGGATTAGGACCAGTAAGTGTCAATCAGACAATCGTAATTTTAGCTCCATCATAATTTTCTATGTTTTGGTGTCTTCCGTAACCCCACTCAGCTTCCAATGAATCAGTAAATAAAGGTACCTGTTCTTAACACTCAATAAAATTAAGAACTAATTTAGGACAAGAACACAATAATTTCACAGCATAAATAGACCTGTTTGAACTATGTAATTGTTCAAGTAGTCACAGGAGGCTTTTCCAGATAATTTTAGTATGAACTTTGTAAGGCGCGGGGGGGGGGGGGGTTGATATTTTAAAAATGTACACTTCAATCTGTTTTGCATTATTCTCTCACAAAATAAAAGGCATTCTCCTCAAAACATACTTTTCTAAAAAAAAAGGGGGTTTGATCTCAAAATACACAATTTGGAATATCCTCTTTGGCTGAAAATTGTATCGCATCCATTAGGAAAGGAAAAGTCATTGTGTGCCCATGCTGTTTTGCATTTTGGCCTGTTGTTTGGGAATGAATTCGTTGGAATTCGTTGAAATCATATTCCTTAAGCATTGCTTAGCTGCTTAAGGAATATTTTGCTAATTTCACTAGAAAGAAAATATTGTCTTATAACATGTTTAGGATTCTGCTTGTAGTTAGCTTAGTTCTTATCACTAATTTTTCTATTTTTTCTTTCTTGTTATTCCTACATCCCTGTACTACTAATTTTCCCTTGGTGGTATAGAAAACCAATATTTTAATTTTTCTTCTTTTAAATAGTCAATAAAAGGCTATTCTTCTTCTGATTTGGAAGGTTCTGGTGATTGCAGAAGCCTAGCCAATTTGCCTGTCTCTAATTATTAAAGTATTAGATTTCTTATTCAAATTTGGGAGAGTCTGGTGATCATGTAAGCCTGATCAGTTTGTCCATTTTGGCCAGATATCTTTTTTCATTCATAAATCTTGAGTGGAAATTTCTTATTTCCAGTAATTGCAAATAACGAAAAGCTCTTCTCTTGTCTGGCAAATCCAGACCATTTATATTGAAAGAAAGTATCCTCAAGGTCCTTGCTCTTGAAATAGACAATCATCCAGTTCTTCTTCATCTTGTGGAGTGGCCTGCCACTGTAGTTGAACATCTTCTTTATCCAGGGTCTGTTGAGGTTGCCATCTCTTTCTACCTTCCCAGATGTTCTTTCTCCTTTATCATCTGATATTTCCTCTGAATCTAGGTCCTTTCCGAACCTCTCATAGAAATCCTGGGCCTTCATGACTGTTGATAATCAGTCCTTTATAAGATGCCATCAGTCCTCCTGAGTTTTCCTATCCAAATCTGTAGCCTTTCTTCTAAAGTTTATCTGTCAGGAAGAAGTAATCTCTTCTTTTTATTGTCTGAAATGAAATCTCTATTGATACTGTAATCCTGGCATTTCCTATTTCAATCAGATCTTTTGTGTGGGCTTGCAAAACTTGGTCTCGTAGTTACTTTCATGTAAACACAACAATCACATTCCCTGGAAGTTTATTTCATATTACATATTAGGATTGAACCCTAAAGGTCCTGTCAATTTGAGTCTTGACCACTTCCTCTGGTCTACCAAGGATTCCAGCTACTACTTCTGTCATTGTCATAACAAGTTCCTGTACAGACTCCGGTATTCTTCTCAACCTCAAAAAGAATTCTCTTTGCATGTATTCTAATATTTGGAGTTAGATTGAATCTGTTTGGAAATCCACTTGCATCTTCAAACTTCTTTATTTTCTGTTTTTGCTGTGCCTGCTACTTCAAAGCATGCATATCTCTCTTCATATCTTGTTTCAGAACAGGTACATTTTTAAGTGTAACTCCAGCCTATATATATATATATAGAGAGAGAGAGAGAGAGAGCGCACTTTGGAAAGAATAGGAAATGCTGAACACCCATATGATGTTTGTTTTGCTGTCTGTGCCCCTGTTCAGAAGATTTCAATGCACTTTCTGTCCCTGTGATAACTGGATTCCGAGAAGAATTGGCTTGTTGTGGAAACAAGGATTGGTGAGAAAACTTCAGTGGAGACTCCTTTTTCCTAGGATAACTCTTCCAGGAGTGAATTTTCCTTCTGAGGGGTAGATTTCTCCCACTTCCTATAGTCTCGCCTCTGTTTGCAACTATGAGTCATTGGTAAGTTAAATGTTTGTAATTCAGGGACTGCCTGTACAAGTCTTGATACCTAAAATTTAAGTATCTAAAACAGAGTTCTAAACCATGAGAGGAGCAAACAAGGTGGTACATGCAATTTAAAAATACACCTTCTTCTATTAGTGAAATAGCCTTCATACAGCATTGAAAACTACTATTTCATACATATCCACAAGCTCTGACATGGTAGCGAGTTTGGAAACTATTTCATATCAAAAAGAAAAAGAAAAAATCCCAAATACTGAGGACCATTATTATGGCAATTACAGAAATAGAGATGAAAATAGATGCCAAGTTGGAATTACCTTGGAAATGTATTATCAATGCAAATTGCCTTTTGAAGGATAGGATGGGACTATCATGAGCTTAGTGTGAGAAAGCATTTACTATAGTATTTATTAGGGGTGCAATTCAGGAATCTCTATTTCTCTAGTTAAGATCGAGTGGGGAAGATAAACACCAGCACTTAGCTGAATGTGCCTTATGCATATTATACCACATACATCCAATCTGTTTCTTTAGAAGTTCTCATCTTTTTCTCATCATATAAAAACAGGTCACTTTATATCACCATGTAGACCTTTTAGTCATCTGCACATGTGAAACAAACAGCAGCTACTCACATATGAGCTTCAAACTTGTTAGCTAATTTTCCCAAGATTTTACAACTAACCAAGCGAGACTGAAGTGTTTGGGAAAGCTGTGCCTTGGAAACAAGTGGATTCAGGATCTAGAGAGAGAGTGGGAAGGAGAGAAGAAATTCAAACAAATCTAGGGTTAGTCAAACAGAAGTAAAGCCAAAAAGTATGCATTAAGACACATTAAGAACCACTCCAAATGCAAAAATGCCTGTGTGTATCAGGTTTCCAGTAAGAATATGTAAAGCAAATTGAACACTTGCATTGTGCTTTAAATAATTATATGTTACAACATGCTGTCATATTCAGATAAATGGCTCTCCATGGGAGAAAAATTTGTGTGTGTGTGTGGGGCGGGGGGGGGGGGGGGGCATGTTAGCAAAACTATTATGAAGAATTCTAGGACACAGACCAAGGGATGTAAAGGAGATGCTCTCCTGCATCTTATTTAATGGCAAAGAACAAGAGTCAATGACATGTATAATTATGTACAAAATTAGCACTTCCTAGCCCTTTTCAGAATGTAAACTTGTTCACTAAGAAGCAGTGCGTTTAGACCATCAGGTTCAAATGACACCATTTGATGAATTCAACTCTATACCCTCTTGCCAGCTACTATTTTAACTCCCACCACTCTTGAATGCCAGCTAATTGGAACTAACACGTTGTACATTATTTTCAAAGATTTAGGCAGTAAAAAGCACACATAAGCTAAAGACCACTTCCAACTAGTTATTCCATGGGAATTTATGACAGAAGATCTCTCCTACCCACCTACACATATACACACATACCATTTAGCATTTATATTCCTCATTTTCGTAAGTCAGGGGTTTATAGATGCAGATAAACTAATTCTCTTTATTTCAATTGGATTCTCACTGACTCAATACTAATACTGCAAAATTCTCCTTGGGCCTGGAGCGATCCAAAATATTTTAGGCTTTGTGTCAGTGTAACAGGAGGTTATGGATGGGCTTTCTATTACACCTGATCACCATTAAAGCAAATGGTCAGGAAAATGGTATTGCCATTTGGTGATCTATCCATTTCAAGGAGTTTAAACAACAATTGTTTCTCAGTCTGATAAACTTCTTTTTAGATGAAAAGATGGTGCACACTCCACCTATCTTGAGCTCTTAGCAGTTCTCATGTCAGTTTTACTCCAGTTCCCTTAGCCCTACACAGTGATGATCAATCTTCTGTTTTGACTATGCCTCCAGAAAAACACTCCTAACACATATGCCCCAGTCGCCAGTGCTTTAACAATGTGTAAAGGATAACAACAACAACAACAACAACAACTTTATTTATACCCCACCATCATCTCCCCAAGGGGACTTGGGGCTGCTTACATGAGGCCACGTCCATCAATACAGAAAACACAATATAACACAAAAACACAACAGAAAATCAGAAAATAAAATAACATAAAATACAGAACCAATGTATATAAGCAGCACAACAATAAAAAATCAAAACATTAAAACACTAAATATGATCACACAAGGCAGAGTCAATTCAAAATTAAAATTTTAAAACACTGGGAGATAGGACAGTGTAAAATATCAGGAAGGGGATCCGCGGGATAAGGTAGGATCATTGCACAAACCAGAGAATAAATTGCTTCTGAGAACATTTTATGTAGAGTTTGGTAAGGGATTATCATACATTCAGTCATTGAAGGCACATTGGAACAGCCAAGTTTTCAGGCTCCTCCTAAAAATTTCCAGGGTGGGGGCTTGCCTAATATCTCTGGGGAGCGAATTCCAGAGCTGAGGGGCCACCCCAGAGAAGGCCCTCTCTCTCGGCCCCACAAGTCGCGCTTGCAATGAGGGTGGGAGTGAGAAAAGGGCCTCTCTGGAAGATTGAAGAGATCACGTGGGTTCTTAGATGGAAATGCGGTCGCGCAGGTAGGCGGGTCCCAAATCATTCAGGGCTTTGTAGGTCAAAACCTGCACCTTGAATTGGGACCGGAAAATAAATGGCAGCCAGTGGAACTCCTTAAACAGGGGGGCTGACCACTCCCTGTAACTCGCACCGGTTAGTAGTCTGTAGTCTGTAGGATGTTAAACTATCATTTGAAGGTATAATGACTTTAGTGTCTCCTCCCCCTTTCACAATCTGATGGGAACTGGGATACCTAGCAGGATAAAGTTGGAAACAATTATGGGATTTATCTCTGCCTGTCACTATGGAAGAGAATTGAGACTCACCTGGGTGCTATTGTAAATTAAAAAAAACAGATGGTGATGAAGGCAGACAGGCTCTCTGGATAACTGCCAATTACCCTGGATGACTGCCAATTTACTGCATCTGCCCTTTCTGCCTTGTTGCCGACACCCCAGTTATTAAAGCTGGAGATGCATTAGTCTGATGACAGGACTCAGCTCTTGGTCCTGCCACTAGACCTTTAATGTATTAGTGTGTTTGTCTTCAGTGAAGAAGCCTTAGAAGTAGATTTCTTTATCATTCTTTATCATGCTAGTAGATGGATGTCTAAAGAACATTGCAATGTGCTCAGGGTTGAGAAGGTACCAAGAACACAGCTCCCTAGGGGGGGAAGGGGGAGGGGGAGGAGGATGGGGAGAAGGTGGGTATGTTTCTTTGTGTATAACATTGTGGTATTTTTCCCCTCAAATTGGAAACTATGTTTTTATTCATTCAAAATGGAATCCACTTTTTGCTGCAGTATCACACTGATGGCTCACATTCAAATGATGATCAACAATAATCCCAAGGTCCTTCTCATATATGGTACAATTGAGGCAATGTATCCCCATCCTATCCCTGTGTCTTGGGTTTTTGTGACCAATATGTAAAATTTTGCATTAGTTTCCACTGAATTTTATTGTATTAATTTCTGCCCATTTTTAGTTTAAATAGGTCTTTTTGAATTCTGTTCCCATCTTCCAATGTTACCCCTCCCAGTTTTCTGTCATCTGCAAACTAAATAAGGATTCCCTCCACCACATCACTGGCACTGTTTATTAAAATGTCGAAGAATAATGGCCCTAGGATACAATTCCAAGACTCTCTACTTCAGATCTCCTTTCAGTCTAAAGCACAGTCATTCATGAGGACTCTTTGAGCACAGTTTTCCAATCAATTCTGAATCTTCTGATAATGTTCTAATTTTATCTTCAGGTAATCAATTTGCTAATAAAAACATTAACCAAAACGTTTGCCTGACTTTGGACCTGTCTGAACAATTACTATCACTGCCTTCCTATGTTTCCCAGGCTCGAGAGGCCCGAGGACACAGAACTGCACTTATTCCTGTTCTCTTCATCCACCACATGGACCCTATCTGTTGACCACTGCCTGCTGTGACATCATCTGTATCAATGGAGCAATCTGGAAAGGGAGGAAAGTCAAAATGGGGGTTCCCCTCCCTTCACTTTGTTGCCCTGGCCAACATTACTGCGGGCAATGGCCAACAGGTAGGACCCAGGTGACAGCTGGAGACTGCCATGACACAGAGACAGGGAAGGGATGGTAAGGATCACTGTCCAGCAGTGCTGAACTATATTTGGTGCTACTGGGTGCTCAGGATTCCCACTTGCCTCTGATGTTGGGGAGAGTGCCTGTGTGATCCATATTGGGATTCACACAGATTATTAGGTCACAGTAAATCTAATAATAATAAAAAGATGAAACTGAGAAATGCAAATTTACTAAAATTCAAAGAAATTGTTTACAACTTCTCAGCCAGCAATGCAACGAATGTCTGATCTGGAAGTTCTAGTTTTGTATTAATTTTACAATATGAAATGACCATGTGGGATTAAATTATATTATGTATGTGAATTAAAACATAAAATACCCTATATTTTCCAGGACACTAAACCAAACTATCTATACATATCTGTATACTTTGCATTAAATATGTTTCGGTTTCACTCCTGATTGGCAGAACTGTGATGCATCCCAATTCTGAGACACTGAAGTAGCTAGCTTTCAAGAAAACACACACATATCATGACATATTTCTGACATTTATAAAAAAGAGGTTTTGCTTTGATCATAAATTAGCAGGGCACAAAACAATAGTGGAAAATATAAGACTGTTGTCTGAAACATTTACAGAAATTTTACATCTCCTATGAAATACAAGTATTTGCGCAGGGAAAAAACACCACTGGTTTTGATATTTTGTGTAAAACAAAGTCATTTGAAAAGGTTATAGAGGTCTGGATGTATCACACTAGTCATTCCCATTTTATTATAACTCTCCTGAGTGGCATGCAGCAAAACTCCTATGAATGAAGAGTGTGAAATCAGAAAGGAACCTTTAAAGAAAGACTTGACATTTAGAGCAAATGAAACCTTCAGAGTGTTTTACTCATTCTAATTAATTAGATTATGAACATGCCCACATGCCATATTGATACGAAGCCAAAAACATCTCACCAATTATGTTCCACATAAAGCAAGTTATGAAAGTTAATATCTTGTTTTACAGTGTTTCAGGAAAGGAATGCAAGAAGTCAATTAATTATTTTTTCCTAAGCAGAATCTTATCATGGGATACTAGACAAAAGTGTTTTGTATAACCAATGATTTTAGATTTATTTTTTAAATGCAACCCTTTAAATGCAGTATTGAAGTAGAACTTCTGCCTCAACCTGCTGGTGCAGGGATAAAGCCACATGTGGTGCAATAACCGATCAGCCAAAATTAGACTTGTCATTCACATGGATTGGAATTTGCAACTGATGCCATTTAGATGTTTCCTGAGCTGTGCAACAGAAGTTTGTTTAAAAGCAACTTATTTCTAAAATAGGGATGTGGAACCAGAGGCGGCCCTAGGTAATTTTCAATGGTAAGCAAACAGTATTTTGGCGCCCCCCCTCCCCCAAAACCAATCACTATCTATCTATCTATCTATCTATCTATCTATCTATCTATCTATGTATGGGGGCATGGACAAATTTTGGCCCTCCAGGTATTTAGGACTTCCTACTGGCTGTTTGGAATTGTGGGAATTGAAGTCCAAAACACATGGAGGGCTGAAGTTGGCCCATGCCAGCCATACATACACACACACACACACACACTAGCCATCCCCTGCCACGCGTTGCTGTGATCCAGTCTAGTGATCTTGAAAAGAAAGTAATAAGAAAGTTGGTTTCTAATATATGTAATTTCTTAATGCTTGTGGGTAAATAGTATTTCTTGTTGTTTCTTTGTCAGTGTTGATGTAGTTCCAACACAAAATACTGAAGGGATTTGGGGAAAATAGACTCTGATGCTGGAGGGGTTTTGGGGAAACATGTACAATAATTTAGATTTGCAGTACCTTCAGTCACTTCCGTTCATGAAGAAACCTCCTTGCCGCCCTGAGAGGGGTGATGGCACAGCTGCCTGGAGAGGCACTTGCAATGCTGCCCCTCTTCACACAGGAGAAGAGGCCCTGTGCTCCATCGGCTCCTGGGTATGCGCTTTGCATTCTCTTCCCCCACACGCTTTGCAACTCCGGGAGAGGGACACGCGCCGGCATTACCAGGCGCACGGAAAAAGAGCCCTCATGCAGGGAGCATGCTCTCCCTCCATCCTTCCCTCACAAGTGCGCACGTTGTCCTCCTCTCCTCCTCCTCCTTGCAGGCCAAGGGAGACAACAACGCCAGTGTGCATCCTTCTCCCAGCGTTAGGAAGTGCATGGAGAAGGAGGGCGATGCAGGGCGCACATTTCCTAATGCCGAGAGAGGGATGCGCAGCGGCATTGCCGGGCACGTGGGAAAAGAGGCCTCGTGCATGCCTCTTTTGTGTTTCATCTTGGGTGCTATCTTTGAAATGTGTCATTGTGTATGTAAACAGCTATCCCATGATCCCAAACATTTTATTTATTTATTTACAGTATTTGTATACCGCTTTTCTCACCCTCAGGAGGACTCAAAGTGATTTACACACTTCTAGTTCAAAGCACTTTGGATCAGGGATACTCAACCTGTATTACATTACAAACTGCTAGACCGGCTGTTAGGTATTGTGGGAGTTGAAGTCCGAAACACCTGGAGGGCTGAAGTTTGCTCTTGCATGTGCTTGACCCAGAAGCAGATGAAGAGCCCTCCTTCCATCCAACTGCCACTGCTTTGGCCTTGGAGAAACAGGTGGCATGTGAAGCCATGGAGCCCTTCCAGACAGGCCCTATGCCGCATTATCACAGGGTGTTTACGCCCTACACCACTGGAAAAATTATACTGCCTAGCCGGTATTGCGCCACCTGACATCCCGGGAAGTAGCAGCCAATAGTGAAAGGACCAAGGCAGAGACATCTCCAGCTCATCCCCTGTTTGGGTATCAGCCAGCACGTCAACGACTTAAATCTAGAAATAGTTTTCTAATATCTACAGAGACACTCGCTGGAACACCTCAGCAAGCGAGAGTCCAAAAGTGGCAGGCTCAAACCCAGAACCTCAACCAATGGCTGATACCAAATGAGAGACTCCCCCCTGGGCACACAGAGGACTGGGCGACTTGGAAGGCGCTGAACAGACTGCGCTCTGGCACCACGAGATGCAGAGCCAACCTTCAGAAATGGGGCCAAAAAGTGGAATCCTCGACATGCGAGTGTGGAGAGGAGCAAACCACTGACCACCTGCTGCAATGCAACCTGAGCCCTGCCACATACACAATGGAGGACCTTCTTGCAGCAACACCAGAAGCACTCCAAGTGGCCAGATACTGGTCAAAGGACATTTAATCAACTACCATACTCACAAATTTTGTAATCTGCTTGTTTTGCTTTGTTCTGTTAGAAATGTAACATAATTTGACTGGTTGTTCTGACATGACAAATAAATAAATAAATCCCAGGTTTTCAGCTTTAAACTGGATCATATGAGTCCACTCTGCCAGATAATCCAGGATAAACAGAAAACCTGCAATCACATCCTGGGATATAGGGCCTGTCTGGACAGGCCCTTCATCCCTTCCCACACTGGCATCCCTTTGCCTTTGTGTCATGTTTTAATTAAATTATACACCTAAGGGCAGGGGAGCATTTTGTTGTTGCTTTACTCGTACAGTGACAGTGTTACACAGTTGGTGTTCTGCAACCACTGCTTCAACCATCCATGGTTTGAAAACATTTTTTTTAAAAAAAATCCCAAAGCAGTCTTTGATTTTGCCACTTTGTACTGTGGAAATATAAATATAGAGCTCCATAGTGTCTCGTCCAACAGCAGTTGGGATTGAGCCCTGGAACTGATGGAAGGATAAGTGGAAGGACAAGAGTTAGCAACCCAAAAGACACTGCTGCAAAATGTAATTGCTAAAATATCAAAGTCAAAATATTATCCAAATTTAAACTATTCGGCCAGCAATGGAAAGGAATCACACAGGATCATATTTTTGCAGTCCATTAAGTGTGTTGATGACAAATCAGATAAAGGAATACTGGGGAAATTAATATAAAGCAGTGTGTATAAAGGGACATTACATTTGGTAATCTAATGCAGGCTTTAAAAGGTTTTAAAGATCAAGTCAGGGTCTGCTGCAGTTTTTAGTTTTGGATATGTTTTTTATGGATTTTAACTGAATTTTTAAAATACCAATGATATTTAATTCCATTTTAATGTTTGCATATTTGTGGATTTTAGACTGTACTGAAATGTTTTTAATCTAAGCCAACTTGAGTTTTCTTGGGGAGAGAAAAAGCAGGGTATAAATAAACATAATAATGTGTTGTGGAAGGCTTTCATGGCCAGAATCACTGAGTTGCTGTGAGTTTTCTGGGCTGTATGGCCATGTTCCAGAAGCATTCTCTCCTGACATTTTCCCCACATCTATGGCAGGCAACCTCAGAGGAACAAAATCTGGCTACCAGTACCCTCTAAAATAACCCTCTAAAATCAGAACAATAAATAAAGAGCAACACTAAAAAAGGGGGGAATTCCTGACATGAAGCAATCAGGGCCAGTTAACCGCTCCCAACAAAGGATTCCTGGGCAGCAACTAGCTCGGCTTCGAAGCTGCAAGGCCATTAAATGCTCATCAAGATGACCAATTGCAACATTCACACTTACCTCAAGCAGACATGAGTTCTTTTTCCCACCCTGGACATTCCACAGATATACAAACCCCACTTGCCTAGTTACAAACAGACCTCACAGCCTCTTGAGGATGCCTGCCATAGATGTGGGTGAAACATCAGGTGAGAATGCTTCACCAAGCACCAAAGAGCATTCTGAACTCCACCAATAATAGAACTGAACCAAACTTGGCATACAGGACTTCCATGACTAACAGAAAATACTGGAGAGGGGGTTGGGAAAAATAGACCCTGACATTTGGGAATTGCAGTTTACCAAGCACCAAAGAACATTCTGAGCTCCACCAACAATAGAATTGAACCAAGCTTGGCATATAGGACTTCCATTACCAAATACTAGAGGGGTTTGGGGGAGGCATGTACAAAAGATGACATTTGCAGTACCTTTTGACCAGGCCTCCTTGCTGCCCTGAGAGGGGTCCAGGCTCAGCTGCAGGGAAGGAAAGGGAAAGCGAAAGAGCCTGGCTGGCTGCCTCCTGGCAGCACGTGGAGGGAGGACTTCCCTCTCGCCTAGTGGGCGGGGCCTGCGCTTCTCCATTAGAAGGCTGTTGAGGGCGCATGGGGCCTGCAGGAGGAGGCGTGGCCTAAGGACAGAACAGCGCCCCCTGGCAAAAAAAGTATTCCGCGACCGCTTACTTCGAGTAATGGACGGGCCGGCCCTGTGTGGAACCCAGTACACCAGTCTTTCCCACAGAGACAGCCCTTTTGCAAGAAAGTGACATTTCTCAGCTGTGTGCAGTTGCGCTAACCAAGACATTTGCAATTGGGAAAACATCTAAGGCAATGTTTCTCAACCTGCAGGTCCCCAGATGTTTTGGCCTTCAACTCCCAGAAATTCCTAACAGTTGGTAAACTGGCTGGGATTTCTGGGAGTTGTGGGCCAAAACACCTGGGGACCCACAGGTTGAGAAACACTGATCTAAGTCCTTCCTTATATGAGCACCCTCTAGTTGTGCTAAACTATAGCTCCAGTCATGTCCAGCAAGAATAGCCAGCATCCCTACTGGCCATGCTGTCTGGAAATGATGGCAGCTGTAGCTTGTGAGAACTGGATAGTTTCCGATAGCAAAAACCTGGTCTAAAAGCTACCTCCACCAGACTGGAATTAAATGTCAGTAAATAGTCTCCTTTCTAAAAACAGCCAACAACAACAGAACAGACTTTATTAACTGAATGATTATGATGATAACAACAACAACAACAACAATAATAATAATAATAATAATAATAATAATGAATTTATTAACCATATCTCTCTGTGGCTCAATTACTGTGACTACTATGGTGCTGGATAAAATAAGCCAATTTATCCATAGTTGACAATGTCGTAATAGATGATTGGGGAGGATGGGAGATGAAGAGTGGGGCAGTATCTTTTAGTGTAGTTTCATTAGTTCGTAACAGCAATAGGTTTTCATTTGAATAAGAAAGAAGGAGTTCACTCTTTGGGTAACTCTTTATGAGATTATAATGATCTCTCTCAATGTATTGACGAACAGCAACTAGTTTTCAGAAAATTATAGGGTACAATATATCTCTTGCCTAAATCATATTAAATGAAACCAACATTACCTCATGTCTGATGGTTTCTTTTGGCAAAACTTCTATTGCAGCAAGAAGAGTTTCCAACCAGGCATTGCTGACACCTGTGAATTACAAGTGGTCAGTTTATAAATCTGCATGTTCTAATAAGGCAAATGTTTCATAGTGCTCTTTAATATTGTGACCTCAATTAATAATTCTCTTAAGTAACAACTTTGGTAACATGTTTTAAGACTGCAACTTCAATTAACAATGCTCTTAGATAACCAGTATCTATTACATATTTTATATGGCAAATTGTTATTTAGAATTTGGGAGAGCTACATATTACCGTATAGAAAACTAGCAAGCACACACTCTTCATTGTTTTATTTTATTTTCCTTGGTACACGAGTGCTTGAAATAATACATTACTTAACAAAAGAAAATCATCAAAAGCTAAGGAATCAGCAGTATGGCATCTCTCTGACCTGCATCTCTGTGTTCCAAATTCTGTAGAATGATGGGCAGGAAGGAGTGGGAGTACGTATGGATGGATATGGATTCCTCTTGTAGAATAGTTAAAAGTGAAACGGCAGCTGTTAACTGCATTTCCACCCCTGCAACAGGCAAGACCTCCTGTGGAAGGAAGGACGGAAGGAAGGAAGGAAATTGTGTGTTTGTTAAAGGTGTACACAGATAAGAAGCAAATGCAACATCTAGAGAAAAGACATGCTTCAACTGAAACTTGTCTGTGAAAGTTAAATAACATATACAAAAGAATATAATGATCATGGTGGGGGAGCATGTTTCAGTTCTGGAGTTGGCAGACTTGACCAAACTCCTACTGAATCAACCCATTCATGTAATAAACTGTAATGTGATCAGTTTGATATTTTTGCCAGTTGCAAAATGATCCATCCAGCATCACAACCTTTTTTAAAATTAAAAAAACACAGAGGACGAGCAAGAGGAAAAGTTGCCATCCCTACATTTCTCTCTACAAAGAATAAGCACTGACAGGTTAGGGTTAGGATTATGAACATCAAGAAGTTTTTCTCCTCTGATTGTATCTTTACAACTTTAGAATGCTGTCAGTTCATGATCCACCAGTCCTGAGGTTTCCTGGCCAAAAACAAAAGAATGCCCTGGTATTGTCATTAAGAATTGGGTAACAACAGTGGCTTACAACTTGCCATTCAAATACATACAGAGAGAACACATTTTCCTGGTTGGAAAATCCTAGCATAAATCCTGTTTGGAAATCCTACCATAAAAAGCGGTCTCCAGATCATGGTGATATGAGATGGTAGTTATATTGATGGATTTGTTTAATTGATAGATTTGTTATATTGATGTAGTGATGTATTGATATTGATGTTTATTGATTTGTGATGCTATTGCTTTTAAATGCTTAATGATTTTGTATTGTGTATACCTAAATTGTTGTAAACCGCTCTGAGTTGCCTAAGGGCTGAGAAGAGCGGTATACAAATAAAGTAAATAAATAAATAAATAAATAAATAAATAGTTCGTTCCCACTTACATTGGGAGACAGATAAGGAACATTTAATGTATACTATAAGTTTCTTGTCATAATAAAAGTATACTATGATGAATAGCATGGTTAATTTTTTTAAAAAGCAGTGCCTCTAAATTGAAAATGTAAATATAACCAATACCTCAAAAACTACTCTCCCCAAAAAGTACTGTTCTGGAAGGTTAATAAAACATTTGGGAGTGGGAAGGCAAGCCATTGCTGTTATGTGACGTGATGCTCACTTTGATTTATAGTTTTATTATAAGGTTTACCTGACACAATTTTTCCCAGGGTGGTTTGCCATTGCCCTCATCTTACACTGTGAGAGTATGACTTTCCCAAGGTTACCCAAAAGATTTCCATGGCTCAGCAGCAACTGGAACCCTGTTTCCCACAGTCGTAGACCAACAATAAAAATACTATGTCACACACACTCTCCCATGGTAAGACATTAACATATTTGAATATACAACAGCAATCAATACATTAATCTAGCTTCAATTATCCAAGCAATTTAAAAGGAAGTAAAAACAGTCTGCTTAAATTGTTAACATTAATTTCTGGAACATCTCCAACAATATAGCTGTAAAGCTCTTTAAAACCTACAGAAAGAGATAGGAGGGGGAGGGGAGGGGAGGGGAGGGGGGAGGAAGCAGCAGCAGAGATGAAGATAACTATTTTATTTAGACAGATCTAGGCCTAGGTAGATTTTGTTGGCAAAAAATCAAAACACCTGAAATCCAGAAAAAATAGGATAAGATTTTGCTGTTGTATGAATTGAAAGAACCCACGTCATTTCTCCATGCAAGATGAACCACTATGACAGCTGAACAGGAAACTGTCAGTCCAAAATTACACATATGAATATGTAACTGTAAGGAAAAACAATTATTCACCTTTAAGAAAAAAGGTTTGGGTGTGCTTACCAAGCTGCCCACATGCCTTGATACTATCTTTAGCATCTTACCAGAGGAAATGAATAGTAAAATGATTACTTTACAATTTCTTCTTTCTTTGCCTGTCACTAAAGGATGCATACAGGGGTTGGGCTTCTGGATTTCATTATACATTCTGGAATTATACCATGCAAAATGAAAGCCGATTGGGAAGAGTGGGAGAAGAGGCTGTTGCTAGTAAATGGGCTGCAACAACTTCAAGAAGAATGATTATCTTGGGATCCATACAATCAGTTGGCTTTGGGGACAGAAAAAACGAAGTCTGCAGTTATTTTTCAAATTCAACATGATTATATTTTCTTAACAAAGAATATTGCCTACTTTGCAATGATGACCCCATTGATAGGATTATGTTATATGAAGATAAAAATGTTGCAACTGAAGCACTTGAGATGGTAGGGCCTTTGGTGTCTATCCTTCAGAGAGGAAATCCAGACCAAGAATCCAGTTGGAATGCCATGCTCAACAACCAGATTCAGAAAAGTTGTCTGGGGTGAAAGAAATTATGGTAATGATGAATCATAATCATGTTTAGATAAATGTAAGGTTGGTCTAGAACACATCAATGTCACAATTGAGAAAACTGAGATGCCTGGGATTATCAAGATCATAGGGTGCTGAATCTTCAAAGAGGGAACCATCAAGGCTGAAGCAAGCAGAACCAAGGATGAGACCAGAGGCAAGTCTACAGGAAGAGTGTCTTTACACAGACTGAGATCAGTGTCATGTATATTAATGATGTATTTACAGATGGAGCTAAGATGATGTTCAAGGCTGATAAGTCCATGATACCATTGCTGTGGAATAAGGAGGTGAAGAAAAAGGTGGAAACAAGATCATTGTAATCTTCAGAGGCAGAGCAGAAGGATGTTCTGATCTGGGAGGTGGGCAAGTCCAATTCTCCACAGGTGGTAATGGTACTAGTCCAATAGGAAAGTATGAATAGAAAGACATATAGAGTTCATGCCAGAAAGGCTAAGGGGAATCAATAATCATAGTAGGATGCAAAGATAATGTATGCATCACTCAATGTAATTACTAATTGCAAGTAGCATGAAGTTGATTATTATACAATTGGGAACCTTCTCTGTATGAAATAGAACAGTTGCTTCAGGATAGAGACCAGTCCTGAGATGAGAACCTATTGAAAGAGTGTCACTGCTGAAATTAAGATCAGCGCACTGATAGAGAGGGAAATGGGTATCCTAGAGCAGGACTTCTTAAATGTTTCCATTCATGACTCGAGGTATATAGATATATTTTATAAGGTTTAAAAATTAAACATTTACTGATAACAAGGCTTGCTAAACAGACTGATTTTTCTTTTTATGAAGAACAGCTGAGGCATTTTCTGCAGAGTCCACTGTAAACAATGCACAACAGATTCCTGTAAATGTTTTTAAACAGTCATTAGGTAAAGTTCGGAAAACCTTTACTGCTTCCAAATTTTTTGCTGTTGGGATCCACAGTTTAAGAAGCCATGTCCTAGACAACAGTTTATTCTGATTGCTTTTGCAATGAGTTATAACTCCAGGATCTTATAACAAAACTTAGCATTTATGAATACTAGACTGTGGGGGAGAAATAGCCTGGCATGGCTGAGTAATTGGTAGCAGGTGGTAGCAGTGGAGTTGATTTGGAGATAGTCAATGAAGAAGATGCCACAAAAATGGAGAATCTTGTTTCTTCTCCATGTCCTTGCGAGGATATTTCTCCTTTGAAATCTTCTTTGATTGGTATGTTCATATCAGTGCTGTAGGTCTCAATGTTCCTATAAGAAATGACGAAGAAAGCTACATGTGATCCCCTACTGTGGTACTTCCAGCAGTCATCAGGATCAAAGAACATGGTTGCAGAGTGTTGTGATGGAGTCTCCGAGTAGTGATGCTATTGGGAGTATTAGGAGGGGAAGAAAGACTACTCGTGAGCAAGACTCCGATGAAGAGCAACAGAGAAAGAGGATCAGGGAAATACTTATGAAATCCAGTGATGATGAATCATTTGAGGGCTTCTCAGGGGAGGGGGAGGGGGAGATACGGGAAAGGGAGACCTTTAATTCGGCCTAGGGAACGCGGAACAACATTAGTAATCCCAAAGCGGTCTCCTGATACGGTAAGTTGGTGTAACCAGGATGGCGGTCCCTCCAGATTGAAAGTGGTGCTGTTGAACGCCAGATCTGTCAATGGTAAAACAACTTTCATCCAGGATTTAATCCTGGATGAACGGGAGATCTGGCGTGCATCACAGAGACCTGGCTGGACGAAGCTGGAGGTGTAAATTTGACCCAGCTTTGCCCGCCAGGTTTCTCTGTGCAGCACCAACCGAGATCCGGAGGGCGGGGAGGCGGAGTTGCAGTGGTCTATAGAGATTCCATTCTTCTGACCAGGGCCCCCATCCCGCAGTCAACAAATTTTGAATGCGTCCACCTGAGGGGGGGTGACCGGGACAGATTAGGGATTCTGTTAGTGTACCGTCCACCTCGCTGCACTACAGTCTCCCTACCTGAGCTAGCAGGGGTGGTCTCGGACCTGGCATTGGAGTCCCAACGGCTACTTGTGCTGGGGGACTTCAATGTCCACGCCGAGACCGCCTTATCGGGAGCGGCTCAGGACTTCATGTCCACCATGGCAACCATGGGGCTGTCCCAACAGGTATCTGGCCCCACCCACAGTGCTGGACATACATTGGACTTGGTTTTCTGTCAGGGATGGGAGGAAGGTGGCGGTGTTGAGGAGTTATCCATCTCTCCGTTGCCATGGACCGACCACCACCTGGTCAGCTTTAGACTCACTGCACCCCCCAACCTCCGCAGAGGTGGAGGACCCATTAAATTGGTCCGCCCCAGGAGGCTTATGGATCCGGATGGATTTCTGATGGCTCTTGGGGAATTTCCCGCCACCTCGGTTGGTGATCCTGTTGATGCTCTGGTCGCTCTCTGGAAGGGGGAGATGACTAGGGCAATAGACACGATCGCTCCAGAACGTCCCCTCTCAAGTAGCCGAGCTAAACCAGCTCCTTGGTTCACTGAGGAGCTGGCAGCGTTGAAGCGAAAGAAGAGGGAACTAGAGAGCGTGTGGCGTTCGGATCCGAGCGAGCCAAATCGAACACGGTTTGTGTCCTTCTTAAGGGCATATGCCGCGGCA